GTTTCATGACGGCACTTGGACACAAGCTCTGACCTCTTGTTGAGGGAGCGGGTCTTGTCGGCCCAGGCAATTTCCAGCTTCTCGGCCAGACACAGGTTGCAGCGCTTCGATACATACATAATCATAGGATGCATGTAGACAGTAATTATTGTCTAAGGTCCTCAGGCTGCGTACAGTGCTCTATATCCAGTGGATGTACACACCTAGTAAACTGTCTAAAAGCACGTTCTAAACACCTACAAATGTACATTGTACATTGTACATTCTACTCTTGATTGTGTACTGTGGAAAGATATCCTAGGATTGCCCTCGTTCCCTTCTCCGACCCTACAGCATCCACTCTCTACCGCTTGCAGTGCCGTCCATCTCAATCGATATCTATGTCAGACTGTAGTCTAGATCAGCTCATACTTGTAAGTTGTAGTAGATCTTTGCGACACCTCTCTACATTGTCAATGGAGATCTAGATCATAAGATCGCCAAGACCGCAATGATAGCCAAGTCGCTGTTCGGCAAGTGTGTGTGTGTGTGTGTGTGTGTGTGTGTGTCTGTGTGTGTGCGCGCGCGTGTGTGCGTATATGCGCGTGTGTGTCTGTGTGTACAGTATGTGTGTGCGAACTGACACAAACGTGGAGCTTGAGATAATATTACTCACACATTGCAGAATCATAGCGAAGTTCTTGTTAGCACTTCGAGTAACATATACATAATACATGTACGAAGTATATCGCACAAGGAAAGACTTTTCGGTCACCTTTCTCTGTGCTGCGACGAATAGTCCATAAGGGAAGAAGCAGTACTGCCACCAGAGTGCCGGAGTAACTCTTTGCTGCACCACTTCCTCGATGCTTTGCAATAAAAATGAAAAAGGTGATGGAAATCGACGTCCCTGCACAAACTTTTGCATGCATATAACGTGCACACCTCAGAAGGTCCAACACACGCACCACAAATGGAATTGCACGTGCCAGCACATGCATTGCGTTTAGAGAAACATCTTGATCACGTGCTAACAATGAACATCTTCTTTTTAAAATGTCCAAGACCTACATGTACATGTACACCTGTATGTCTATGACCCAAAACACCTCCCCCTCGCCGCTAGGCGCTGCATCTGCCACCATGGTATTATTATTCTTTTATTCCACGATGGCGTGACGCCAATAAGGACGATTGATAAGTGTGATTGAACTGATACTAGTCAGAAAGTGGCAGAAACAGCTTCAAGTAGATGGAATTTACCCGGGGAGGCAAGAAGCAACGGATCATGAAAAACAAGCGGGGTCAATAGCAGGGGTGATTGAGATAGTTAAATACACGTCAGTTGGAGATACATGTATCAGAAACCGGGGGGGGGGGGGGTGCGCGGACCAGGAACAAGCACTGCTCAAAATAAGACTGGATGCATTGTTTCGGAAAGAATTTCTACGATGTTGGGTTGTGATGTCGATAGGGAGTGAGTTGTAGAGGGTGAGGGCACTGTTGATGGGGGAATCTCGGTGCCTGTTTGTGTGTGCGTGTCCAATGGAGTAGGTCCTTGTCTATCGAAGGGTGTATGGTTGGTGTTGACGTTGTGGTGCAAGATGTGGTTGTTGCAGGTGTGGTGGGGAGGTTTGGTGGTGGATGTCCCATGCAAGTAGGGCTTGTTTATCAAGGAGTGGTGAGCTAAGGGTGGGAAGCTTTGCGTGATGGAGGAGGGAACTGTGGTGAACTGGTGCAAAGAGGGGAATCCGAAGGCAGATGCGTATAGCACTGCCATGAATTCTCTCCAGTTTGTCCCGCTGTTGCTGTGTGATGTTGAACTTGGAGAGGGCAAGGGCAAGGGCAAGGGCAAGGGCAAGGGCAAGGGCAAGGGCAAGGGCAAGGGCAAGGGCAAGGGCAAGGGCAAGGGCAAGGGCAAGGCTGCCATATTCGAGAACGGGTTGGATGTAGGCTGGAAGCGTTCATTGTGTCACGTGTCTTGTGGAGTTGGTGTAGTAGTCGGTTATCAGGCATGGTGGCGGTGGCCTGACACAAGCCAAACCTCCTAAGCTGCTTGTGTTCTTCAACACTATTGTATAGTCAGTGATAGCGCGAACGTGTGAACTTTACTTGTATGACCCAAACACCTCTTCTTTATACGCTCTTGCCAGATAATTAGTTACTAGTGTGTTGCCACGGGGTTGACAGTACACTCACAGCTAGAGGGCAGCAAACCATTGTCATTCCAACGTCAATGAACGACAGCACAATAGAATGCATAGATTACCCACTATAAAGAACACTACAAGCTGTCATCATTAGCATCGCGACCGTATTGTAATTACTGCGGTTACACATGTACATGTACATGTACATGTACATATACACCGTACTGGATTAGAACTGTTCAGCAAAGTAACAAATGTAGAAGTGTTCCTCTGCAATCACAGCAGTCTATCACAGACATCGTGCACTGACTGTAGCGTCTTCCACACTACACCCTGCGTGGCATTGACCTTCAGAAGTGCATTTAGTACACAACTAGTCACTAGTGGCAGCACTTGTCTCGTGTTGGATTCCATTCTTATGCGTGATACAGTTAGAAACGATAGACACCTGAATAAGAGTCAAATATTTACAACTTAGTGAGCGAGTGTTAATACAATACTAGGAAGACAATCAGTGAAATACCCAGCGACACATATACCGGTACCTCCCGTACACTTATAACATACTACCAGCAGGCAGCAGCCCTAACTAATTACTTACACGGTCATCCTCTCCTAGCATGATACAGTATGACATGTATCAGCAGGCCACGCCAGATCCTCTTGTTTTTTTCCCATCACGTGTGTGTTCAGAGATTGAATACTTTGAACTCCTCCGACAGTTCGTTTATGCGGTCTAATGCTATTTATGCGGTCATGTATTCCCCTCAAAACCCCTTCCCTCCATTACTACTGGGTATAATGCAAAAGGATCTTTGGAAGTCGTTGCAAACTGGAAGTCTTCCGGAGGCGTTGATCGATGGGCAATGAGTAGAACTGATGTACACAATGATGTTGGATTCACATGATCAAGATCTCGGTGACTGAAATCAATACTTCCTATGTGCCTTGTGTCGCTGTGGCGTTAAGCGGCACACATGATAATTAAAACAATCAAGAGCCGCGTGTTGTCCAGGCAAAACAATAAGCGTCGTTCCGAAGCTTGTTCATCGTGTATTTGTAGAGATCCGTAGTGGTGAACTGGTCCTGAACACGGTAGCCCATGGACATGTACCGTACAAGTGTGGAAATCTGTGTTACTCCGTCACTCTAAATCATACGTGCATTGTTCTTTGTTCAAAGCCAAGGTCATGGCTAGTGCAGTAGTAGTGTTGTAAATCTTGTACATGTATTATTACTATGGAAATACCGGTGTGATGAGATGAGTGAGGTACGAAGAGTGTACTGTGTACCACCTCAAGTCAAGGCTCAAGTGACGGTAGACCACCTCAACTCTCTCTCTCTTCTCTCTCTCTCTTCTCTCTCAAGTGACGTGTGTGTACATGTACCGTGCCGCGTACCTCACTGCATTACGACACTCCAGCGTGCTCACTGCATGCACTATGCTACATTACTTTGAAGTCACTATCACTTACAATAATACAATACTCGTACTGATGTAGTTCCACACTCAACCGATAGACTCTCAGTTGCGTGTAGTATTAGAGCCGTGTCCCAGTGCAGTACTAGTGCAGTACTAGTGCAGTACGCACGTACTCATGGTAGTGTTGGCACAAACTAAACGTACATGTAGTTGTTAAATCGACGAGGCTCAAACTGAAACGCCGAATACGTGTATTCGTCCAGTGTTTGTAAGTCACGTTCCGCTATCTCCACTGACCACTAACACAGCACTGCACAGCGCAGCACAGGTCCAGTCAACGATGGCAAGCATTTTTACTAGTAGACCCGATCAGAGCACGGAAGATCAGAGCACGGAAGATCAGTCTAAGTAAAGAGGATGGCAGCAGTTTACTGTTTAGTTCAAATAATTGACATCCGCCCTTGTTGCTAGAAGCTATGATAGTATGAACCAGCGAGAGCATTCGCCGAACTCGCTAATTATACGCCGAAGCTATTGCGTACTGTCCACCGCGCTGCGGCACTGAGCCTGGGCCGGGCCGCGCGCGCAGAGAAACGAAAGTGCACGCGCCGGGTCAAAGTTCAGCCTCGGGTCAAAGCTCGTGCATCCACTATCTATTACTAAACTGTGATGTGAAATCCCGCTGGCATTGACAGGCCACTGTCTGTAGTCTACTGACTGTCATGTCACTAGCTCTGCGATCGTGACTGCAGTGCTGAAGGCTGTGAAGGCTGTGAAGCGGTAACACGATTATCCTGTACTGCTCGGGCTTGCAGTCGGTCCCTGACCAAGAGGAAGTGCAAATCCATGACAAATTGATTCGATGCTTGATTGGATGGCACAATGGCAGTAACGAAGAATGTCACAAACACCCAAAAGAAATGACAATGCCATCCAGATCTTCACTCTGTTCTATATTGAGTTCAAACCGCCGTATTCCTAGTTCATGCGACCAATATCCACAGCCGGATGTCGACGAACACATTGCTATTGGCTACCACTGTCAGTGCTGCATACAACTTACAAGCCCGCCATTCAGCTGATACATGTAGAAGCAATACTTGTGTAGCAAGAGTGCAGAGCTGCATGACAGCGCGACATGCAGGCTGCTCGGCTTGTAATACTAATAGTACTGTTGATCGGTAAGAAGATATACTGCTGACCGGTTTGATGATGCTGCAACTATTACTTTTTAGTATTAGTATTACGTCTTGCTATAGCACATATCGCGACCATCGCGGTTTAGCTGAGGACGTGTGTACACGAACATGGTACACAGCTTTCGCAGCTAGTCACGTGGTTACGTTCGCTTACAAAGTGGCTCGTCAAGAGCTCACCCTGGTCACAGCTCACTGAACACTCACTGAAACCAAAAAGAGCACCAACATCACCACGCGCTACATCACCTTCTACGTGCAGCCGCTAGCGAGCGGGGCAAAAGCCGCGCTGCAGGATATCTTCTAAGGCCCGCAGCGCAGGATCTGTGCTGCTGACCTTGGAAAGCGGAAGGCTTTCAAGAGTGGGTAACGTAGCCTAAGGTCTGGGTGACCGTCGACTGCCCTGGCACATTCTATTTCACTTGCCAGACTTCACAAGACATTTTATACTGTGCCCTGTGAACCAGCGACATTCACGCACAGGACTCAGAGGAATCCTAAAGATTCTAGGACCGTTTCTTAGACCAGCTCTGAGATAGTTGAGAGGTCGCACTCGATCACTTTCAAGGTTCATTGAGCGTCTCAATTGCTTTATAGGTCTTCCTTCGTAGAAACGAAACCCGCTGCCTTTGATCCTTTGGAGAAAGTTCAAAGGTGCCGGCCCACGCGGAGTAGCCAAAATTAAAGTGAAGAGTCACAGCTTGGGACGGTGCTGGAAAACGTTTTTCCTCGAGAAGAAGTTTCTCAGTCTTGGCTGCAACATTTCTCAACGCGACTGTGTTACAAGAACGCACCAGAACCCTTTAGTCTATACTAGGCAGCAGAGAATTTCTAGGACGTTTGGATGTTGATAAGCGGAGCGAGGCCTGCAGCAGAAAAGGAAGTCATCCCACAGACTGTTCAGTACAACACAATCGAAACTGTTTAGGCAGGCATCCAAGTATTGTGTGGCAATTTCCTCTTTGCTCCAAGTCAGAATATCATGGATTCCTGTTACCGATTACGGAGTATTGTTATGGCTGCGGTGCTTGGTCTGTTGGAATCAGGCTTATCGAACGCAGAGTAAGTGCTCCCGACTGAATGAGCAGTGTCGCTTGGTTGGTTTTCAATGTGTTTGTTTTCAGTTTTGTTTGAAAGGTAACCCGGCGATACACCCGGGGAGCCGAGTGCCGCAGATCTCAGTTACATGACGATGAAGTCAGGCGTGTGACATGGGTCTACAGAGTTACTCAACATACTGATTTTTGATGTTGTGTGTTTGTGTATGTGTGTGTTTTTCAAGGTTTCCCTATCACACATCCGCCGCACTAGCTACGAGTGGCTTGCGACCGATTCGCAGGGGAGACTGCAAGCGACTTACAGGTCTGACCGAGGGACAGTTCCAATGGTGCAAGACGCATTCTGTCTTCATGCAACCGATTGTCAGTGGTGCCAAACTGGGTTTAGCCGAATGCCAACGCAGGTTCTCCGATAGGCGATGGAACTGTCCAACGGACCAGCCAGAAGTCTTCGCTAAGGCCATCGAGACAGGTTAGTCTTGGCGTTTCTCTACCAATCTTTGCTGCTGTCCAGGTGGTTGGCAGGTTGGTCGCTGCGCTGTAGGGGTAATGTGTGTGTGGTGATATGGAGTAGGCCGGTGTGATCGACCGTTTTACTACTGCTTGTGTGTAGCCGGTAGCCTATAGTGTAGGGGTGATAATACCCTCTGGCAGCAGAATAGTGTGTCCCGTAATAGTAACCTTCTGACTCTCTGACTCTGGCCCGGTCTGGCGTCCGTTCACACGTTGAATGTGTTGTTCGTGGGTCGTGGGTCATCCTGACCCACCTGATCCTGATCCTGTCTCTTGTTTTGGTACCTACCTATGATGGCCTATGGCGGTCATAATGGCTGCGTCGAGAGCTTCAATCATGCTCTCTGTCACATGTTGGGACTAATCCGATTTGACAGCGTTGAAGTAATTAGCCCTTCTGGTCGTGGGGGCCAGTTTTCGAATCTTGAAATGCCATTGGCATTGGTCTCTGTGCGCAGACCAGGCATTCTCAGCATGTGTACATGTATTATCATGACCTTGCAGTAGCTCTTCAGTTAATTAACTCCTTTTCAGGAGGAGAAGGCCTCAGTGTAAGCTGTGTATGTTTGAATGAGCAGCTGGCAGGGGAAAGGCATCCGATATGCTATCAATAATCAAGTTTAGGCTGATTTACATACATGAGTACCAGCAATATGCGTACCCAGCAGATTGTGTACAATACCTCATACTACATGACTGTACATGTATGTGGAAAGCTGATGAAGCCAGGGCTGCTGCATACTCCAGTACATCGACACAGCACATCTTGTGTCAGGAGTGTAGCAATTCTGGACAGCATGCAAGAACACAACCGCATGCTTTCTAGGGCAGGTGACCATGGGAGCATTTTCAGTGACCACACACAAAGTGTACTCGGAATCTAGTGATGCCTAAGTGTTTACTGGGAATTCTTGTAGGAAGAGGGTAACTGTGAGAACTTGTTGCAATGTTGTAGTCAGAATGTACCAGTGCTGGCTGTTGTACTAGTAGTCAGAATGTACCAGTGCTGGCTGTTGTGCTAAGTCATCTACACTCTCACTGTGTTACGTCAATGAGGGCTCTGTGAGAGCTGGGCCAAGCATTTATGGTAAGGTATTTGCCAGTCGTTTGCAGCTCTAGGCAATGCCCACAGACTAGCTCAACAACTCTGTTCACATGCACTCACAACTCAGAGTGAGTGTTGACATCTCAAAGTATTTCACCCTGTCAGCAAGAAAACAAGCAATTCTCACCAAGAGAAGATGACCATTGAGACGGTCCAGGTATTCAATTGACCATCTTTGAAATTTCAACCTGGTTGCACTTCAAGGTGTGCACATTCACATGCTCATTCTGCAGTGTTGACGTGGATGAGAAAGGAATGCATTGCAGCTAAGCTTTTTAACAGGTCGCTTGTGACGACGAGGTATCCTCCTGGGCAAGTTGGAATGGATCTGCATAATGGCAGTAGGGGGTGTGTATGGACAGCAAGAATAGTGTAATAATTGCTTTCAGCACAATGGTGGTAACAGGGCACCTGTTTCCTTATCAACATGCTAAGCGGAATGATACCTGGAAGTGTGCACAAGCTGTCCACTATGAATCACACCAGAAAATCAGCAACATTGTTGGCTTTGACTTCGTGGCGTGCCCCCCAGGCGCCATCATTACTCCCATTGGTAACTCATAAACTTTCCCTGGAGTGTGTCGACAACTTCCCTCGTTTATTATGATAATTGGCTCATTAGGCAGTTTTCTAGAGGCTAGATATTAGGCGAGTGAGGAATGAAGGAAATGAGGGGCCGATGGCTACAAGCCGGAAATGAGCAGACCGTAGGCAATTGCGTCACCTCACTATCGCCTTATGGCCCATGTAACGTACTACTCTTGATGCGTAGTCATCAACACCCAAAACGCCCAGGGTGGGTCAGGCGTGGCCAATGTTACATTTCTTCTTTCCCCGGCATTGAGAAGTCAAGCAAGGAGTTACTTATTTACCTATTAGAGCGGGATTGCTGCACATGCATTTGACGTTTTCATTAGCAAATGTCTGCATGTACTAGCTTGGTATGTTGTAAGCCTGGTTTGATCAACATGTACCAGGGTGTACCAGCGTGTAGTTCATGTTGTTTTACTGACATTCACATGGCTAAAAGCGGTATGCAAGTAGCACTGATGGATAGTATGCCTGCGTGCTTGATTCCCTTGGGTGTAATTCTCATCAACGTGACGGGGACATGGTGTTATAACAGTGTTCTGTAGTTGAAGTAGTATCGTCCAACACAGTCAGTATCCCAGCAGTGGTGAGTAAACATGTCCGGCTTACAAACAGGAAACTTCAGCAAAGAATGATATGAAGTAATTAGTTGATGTAGAGATCCTTCCACTCCACTAAGGTCCTGGTCATACAAGGAGTGGAGGGGGGGGGGGAAGCCGCAATTACTTATGATCTCAACATGATTGCATTGACATACATATAGCACTGTAGCAGCAAAACACCATAAGGAGGTCTAGAAGTGAAGCTACCTTCTTGATTACTTCCTAAAGTTGAAGAATGAGGCAGGAATGAAAGTAGGACAGTCCTGGGAAACAAAACGTGTGCCGTGCATCTCTACAATAGCATAGCATTGGATAATGCTTGGTAGTACTGTATGCCTGGAGGTTCTTTGTAACATCTTGTTTGTTATCCCTAGAACTCGCAGAGTCCCATGTAGCCACGCTTCTCACGTTGAGTGCTGCTAATCAGAGAAACATGCCCTGCATGTGTGCAGTGGGCGGGGGGGGGGGGGGGGGGCAGTGGCTACATCCGTCCTGGACACTCAGCACTTTGTCAGTGCAATTCTGAACTTATGGGACTGGCGCCAGGATTCACAAAATCACCAGTCAGCAGCAGACTTAAGCTGACTTTGACATTTCAAGTTCTCACGTTGAGTGCTGCTAATCAGAGAAACATGCCCTGCATGTGTGCAGTGGGCGGGGGGGGGGGGGGGGGCAGTGGCTACATCCGTCCTGGACACTCAGCACTTTGTCAGTGCAATTCTGAACTTATGGGACTGGCGCCAGGATTCACAAAATCACCAGTCAGCAGCAGACTTAAGCTGACTTTGACATTTCAAGTAGGTGAGATGAAGTTGAAGCATCACCAGGGTATTCAGTGACAGTGTCTTTGTGTGTGTTCCTCCACTTGCCTAGGACAGCTAGCCATGACCATGGTGTGTAGTGTACAGCCTTGGTCATTGCATGCAGTACAATGATTTGTTGTGTCATGGTTAAATTATGCCATACAAAGCCTCCTTGTCAAGTACATTGTGGGTATGTTATGCCAGGCCTTGGTGCGCAGTAGTTAGGTTAAGCCGCGGTGCAAAGCCTGGATGTGGAGTAGCTATGTTACATGGTGTGCAGCCTGGTGGATACGTACCGTACTTATAGCAATGCCAGATGGTTGGAGACTTCTCCAGGGTGATGTACATCCAGTGTCTGAAGAGGGGAGTGCATATTTTGATACCTGATAGCTTCCTGTACTGTCCTGGTATTAACATAATACATTTATGTTAATTTCAGGGGTAGAGAGGGGCCATTGGCTTCATCAAGGAGAAACTGACTGTTGTAGATGAATATCAAGTGTTTTACATGCACTATCCCCAGTACACATGTATTGCGATAATGGTAGAGGTTGATTATCTGATACCTGTGTTAGATAAGCATCTACTAGTAGGTAACATGTTATTTGATTGATGTGGGTATCCATGTTGATGGGGCATCCATATTGTTTTGATTGGTTTGGAGATGGGTCACTCCAAACAGAATGACTCAGTCAGAGTGGAATACATGTAGATTCGAGCTGCTTGTACTTTGTACATGTATATATCAGAGATATAAAGTCTTCAAAATGATCCTACCATGCCCTACCTCTTCCCCCCCCCCCCCCCCCCCCCCCGGCCCTGCCCAATGTGCTTTACACATGACACACCTGACGTCTTCACTGAAAAAACAATGATGAAGTCAAAGCCAAGCCAACGCCAAGCATTGTTATAAACATGTACTGTGCATAATATACTTTCTTGGGAACTGAATGAGTACTCTCTTAGACTGAACTTCGTCCAATCAAGCTGATCAACTCTCAGCCCCACCTGACTATGGCTGTGCCGGAAACGTGTAACACCTTATTGGGCGTGGGACACTTGCAGCAAGGGGTCCACCCATCTTTGTTTGGAGCCATCATTTAGGCACAAGTATGGCCATGATATTGGAAGAAGAATACTGATCAGGTTCCCAACGATGTGCTATTTCCATTCGCCAGAAAATGAACTTAGCAGTGCTGTGCACAGGCTGGTTGAGGGTTAGACAAGACATTGCCAACTGCAACAACCATGGAATGCAAGTTCCACTCCCTCTTGAGCGGTGGTGCAAGCTCCACTCCCTCCTGAGCGGTGGTCTAACTACCTAATGTACCACTAGTCGCTGCAGCATGATAATAATGCATTACGGCAAATTGTCTACATCATCATGTCCTTGACCGCAAGCCAGGCTGCACCACCCACCATGCCGGTCCATGCAAAGAAGTAAAGGACCTAACAGTATTATTGTCTGTGTCCTTTACTTTACTGCTAGCACACGAGCTTGTATGTGAGCAGCATGGCTGGTGGAATGATGCCTGGCTGATGCATGACTGTAGAAAGCAGTTTGACAGTGCTACTCATACTTGGCATGGAGTGCGGACAGTGTCGGAAAGAGAAAAAGTGAGAGAGAGAGGTGAAGAGAGTGTTCTTGAGTCATGACAAAGGCTCACTATACCACCTGGTGTGCTGCTGAAACAGGTTCAATTGTTCTTCAAGTAGACACTGTCAGTGCACACAATCAGCTATGACTCTGAGAGTGTGTGTGTGTGATGCTGCAGTGTACTGTGCACTGTGGTGTGGGCTCCTACTCCTAGGAACTACATCCTCTTTGGCTGAGTGAGTGCACGGCAAGAAGAGAAAGGGGATATTAGGCTACACTGAGCATAGACATACAATCATGTATTCTGGGGACTCACTGCATCTCTGGCAGCAGACACAGACGTGTGATCATGTTCCACTTTCTTCACCCTTATTGCTTATTGTTAACCCCAACCCCGGCATACCTGAAGAGCACATGTTCCTTTCTACTTGTTACAAGTATTTACTCCAGTTGGGGGATTCTAAGCTGCGACATGTCACCATGAACAAACACACACAAGGTGTGCAAGCCGACTGGCTGTGTTGAATGTCAAAGTTTGAAGCCAGGGGTATTTTTAGGATGGTAAAGGATATGTTTGTTGCAGCTGGCCGGGACATGAACATGAGCATGGACACATTAATTACATCATTGTAGGTAGTTAAACATCGCATGTGGCATGCCAGTGACTGTGTGGCTGCCAATATGGAGAGTATTTTTATTAGTGAGAGCAAACCAGGGTACTAGTACGCGGTGGAGAAAACTAAGGCTACACTGAGGAAGAGTGAAATTGTGTGTGTGTGTGTGTGTGTGTGTGTGTGTGTGTGTGTGTGTGTGTGTGTGTGTGTGTGTGTGTGTGTGTGTGTGTGTGTGTGTGTGTGTGTGTGTGTGTGTGTGTGTGTGTGTGTGTGTGTGTGTGTGTGTGTGTGTGTGTGTGTGAGAGGCGGGGGGGGGGGGGGATGAGAGAAAGCACCTTCAGAGCAGATCCTGGATCAAGGCAGTACGAGTGAGAGCAAACCACGGTACGCGGTGGAGAAAGCTAAGACTACACTGAGGAAGAGGGAAATGGCGAGAGAGAGAGAGAGAGAGAGAGAGAGAGAGAGAGAGAGAGAGAGAGAGAGAGAGATAGAGAGAGAGAGAGAGAGGCGGCGGGGGGGGGGGGGGGGGGGGGGAGAGAAAGCATGCTCAGATCAGATCCATGATCAAGGCAGTACATATACTACATGACCTGAGCAGTGAACTACCTGTACCGGCATTGTCTATCTACCTGCGTTGCACATTGACTTGATGTATGTCAGTGCCTGCCCTGTGGCTTTCTTGTCTGCTAATGCACCTATTGTTCTCACTGCCTCTTTTTCACCATTCTCTACTTTTATTATGGTGTGCATGATCTTTGATGATGCTGAACCCTTCATGTTTGCCTGACTACCATGGCTATACTACCTTTCTTATCTCTTTACTCCTCAAAACGGAATGTGGTTTATTTAGAGAAACACGCATGTCTAGTCAATAGTAGTTACTCACTGGGTCGATGATATTGCATCTATCCACACACACACAACAACACACACACACGCACACACACACACACACACACACACACACACACACACACACACACACACACACACACACACACACACACACACGCGCAGGGTCTATAGCACTGCATCAATCCACACACTAAGACAAAGAAACTGAATACCAGTGCCACAGTTGCCGCCATGATTTACATTCAGCCCAGACTCCAGTCCTGTATCAGCACTCCAATCCTGTATCAGCAGGAATGCTGCTTTGATGACTTGTAAGGGAGCACACCCAGAACAAGGGTGGATGATTAGGAGCGGCATTGTTAGGCTAGATACTGATGATACTGATGATACTGATTGGCGATGGCGACCTAGGTGTACAGGTGTGACTCGCCTCAAATAAACTAAACAATCAACAGCAAGATCCATTGATCATCATCACCTCAATGGGCTGCTATATTTACCATGCCTATTGTTATCCGGTTGTGTTGGCTGCTGCAGCTAATCCCGAGGCATCATTCGTGCACAGCATCCAATCTGCTGGCATAACACTGGCCATCGCCAGGACGTGTAGTCGAGGTGATGCTCTGAAGTTCTGCCAGTGCGACCAAACCCTGACCAAGAATAAGGCCAAGGACTGGACTTGGGGCCCATGCACCGATAACTATCACAAAGGAAAGCAGTATGCTAAGGAGTTCCTGGACGCTGGCAAGAATGAATCATCGCCAATCTCCATGGTGGCAAGTTTCAACCATGAAACAGGACAGACGGTCAGTCCCAGTTCTGCTTATGGAGCATAATCACTTACTCGATGAATACAAGAAACCAAACTTGCTTTCATTATTGCGCTGATATCGTTCTTGCCTGAACGAAAACTTCTCGAAAATTTGTGATATACATGTATATACTTTGGAGTAAAATAGTGGTAAAGATACACCTGGTAAAAAGGCAGAAAATTAGCTTAAGTGCAGTCTTCAAATGCATACTGTCATGTATGTATGAGTTAAAATTGTAAAAGACACCAGCCATCCGCATAGAACCAACATCAGTGGATTCAGATCCAGAACATGCACATACACACACACATACATACATACACACACACACACACACACCAAACACACAAACACTCACACACAGATACATACGCACACAAACACACACACACACAGATACATACACACACAGATACATACACACACACACAGATACATACACACACACACAAACACACACACACAGATCCATTCACACACGCATACATACATACACATGCACACACTCAACCATTGTTTCCAATAGAGATTGCATAAATATGCAAACTCAAAATGAAAACACCATCTGGAGTCCTATAATTGGCAACATTAGCGTAATGAAAAACAATGGCTTCGCCTTTCGAGTCTTTATCAGTACAATATGACCTCCTTGCCACCGCAAATTCTCAGGCAATTGGCGGCATGTTTGTGCCTCTCCTCTTTTAGGATGATGGCATTGTCAGCTTTGTATTCTTTTCGAGCACACGCCGGTACAAACACCCAGAGTTTGGTTTTGGAGTAGTTACAATTCCGTGTGTTATGCTGCCACGCGTGTAGCCTGGTAGCATGCATTACTGTGAATTGTATTGATCAGGGACACAGACATTGTATTCCATGGCTAAATGCCAACCATATGCCAAAGGTTTTACCCTGTCTGCTCCACAATTATCACTAGGATTAGGGTAAAGAAGACAATGATGACAAAGAGGTCTTACAGCAAACACAGTGCAGTGGTGGTATGAGAGCACGTGTATAGATTTTTTTGGAATAAAAGGATGGGCTCTCATACCATGTGCACAGTATTGCTAATGATATGATTGGTGGAGCACACTAGATTGGGTATTAGCATAACAACAAGTAGTTGCACTCTCTTTTGAAGCCCTAACCTGCCACATGGTCAGCCATTATCATTTACCCCACACTCAGCAAGGACCACAATCAACGAGAGAGCTTGGAAGCTCAGGGCCCTACGCTATGCTTTTTTGCCTTGATGACCTAGACAAAAAAAAGCACAGGGATGTTATAAATTCTTTAAAAAATCCTTTATTTTTAAGACATAACCTGGGATTCGAATCCGCACTATGGCGCGCCCTGCATGCATCCCCCGATACACTTCGCATATATACTAATTCTTCCAAGTTGTTTCACATTGTGATCTTGCATTTTAAAGCCCTATTTGAATATGCATTGTGGCCAGCCGTCTTTGATGGCACGGTACGGTAGGGGATAGGTACGGGACAGGTACGATCGAGGGTAATACGACACCGTCTCCCGTACCGTACCGTACCATCAAACACAGCTGGCCACATACAGCTGCCCCAATATTCAAATAGGGCTTTCAAACGCAAGTTAATAACGTGAAGCAACTTGGAAGAATGGGTATGAATGCGAAGTGTATGGGGAATGCATGTAGGGCGATAGTGCGGGTTCGAATCCCAGGATATGCCTGAAAAAAATAGGAGAATTGAAAAATTTATAACATCCTATGCTTTTTTGCCGTCAGATACGGATAGCGCCAGGCGTGACACAAACAAACAAACACACACACAAACACCAAACGAGAGAGCTTGGAAGCTCAGGGCCCTGCGCTATGCTTTGTTGCCTAGCTCATCGTGCATGTTGTTAGAACTGGTGGAAATGCTTTTTCCTTTGATTAGCTTCATCATTGTATTGCCAAAACGTTTCAATTAGGTACTGAAGTAACGTCTTCTGCATAGCTTCGGGACCGGCGCTGACTCTGCCGATCACGGGCGTTCTGCAGTCGATGACGTTTCCTGGGACCGGCGCTGACTCTGCCGATCACGGGCGTTTATCTTCTTCTTATTATTATACTGGCGGCAACCAACATCCATTCTGATTGCATTTACTCGTCTCCCTACTTCGTATTTCTTTCCAGAAAATCTCCCCATACAGCAGGGAGTCGTTTACATAATATGACTCCCTGCTCTACATCTACATGACTGTATAATTATACGTTATAGTTATTATGCTATCCGCCTACATGCGATTCCCGGGCAGGTCAACAGGCGGCCCAGCCAGCCTGCTAATGGGATCTCGGCCTCGAACACAAATCCACACAAAATGTTACTGCACTGAATGCATTCCCCCGATACACTTCGCATATATACTAATGTCTTATTCTCTTGATGGTACCGTACTCTTGATGGTACGGGACAGGTACGGGATAGCGCCAGGCATGTCGATGCCACAAACACACAAAAATATAGTGGCCAGCTGTCTTTGCTGGTACGGTACAGTACGAGACAGATACGGGATAGCGCCAGGCGTGACACAAACAAACAAACAAACAAACAAATAAACAAACAAACAAACAAACAAACAAACACCAAATTAAAGCTGTGTGGACCCTGGCTAGCGCCAGACGTTACTGAAGTAACGTCTTCTGCATAGCTACGGGAATAATCTTGATTAGTGGTATAACAGTCAGTGGAGAACAATACCCTGGGCCATTGATTAGTATTGTTCAGCTCACACACAACCATATGGTCAAGCAGAGTACTGGCTTTCAGCTCGCCGCCTCGCATTGTAACAGTTAGACCACGGAGTGGCTTTGTGATCACCTACGAACATCACCACCATAATCAAATGTATTTGCTATGGATGATTGGAGGAATAGTGCAACATTGAAGGCACTAAGATTATGAAACGTAAAACTGCATTTTCTCGTAATAAGTAATAAGATTCACAATTGTGGAAGGATGACAATTAGTAACTGATCCAAATATTTCCACATGAAAAACGTGATGCCTCCAATCCTTCATTTCAGGCGTAGAAGTATCTGTATAGCAATGTATTGATGACTTACACGAGTGTTAGGTACCTCCTCCCGTACCCCAACGTGACAGTGCTTGAGATAATTGTACTGATATTATTATTGTACTCTGCTCTCTTTATTGCTGTTTTCATTGTTGTGATCAGGTTGTACGTCAGTCGATGCAGCTAGTGTGCAAGTGTCACGGTTTGACAGGAACCTGTGCACAGAAAACATGCTGGTGAGCGGATCGCTGTGTGGGCAGTGTCGTGAATGTGGCCAGGCTTTACGCACTCGGCTTTCATGCAGCACGGGCTCCTTTTTCATGGTTGAATTACTTAAATTATTTGAGTATTGACTATGCTGCCTTCTTGGGATGCTTAAACCAAGTGTGGCGATAGTATTGGAGATCCAGAGTTTAACGTTCTGGTGCAACAAAAGCATGGGATATACTTGAAACCCATCGCATGGATTATTAGTTTGGGTAGTAGCATCCAGGATGACGATATTACCAGACCATGGTGCATGAGTCAATTTGCGTTTGACGCCAGATTTGGACAGTCTAAGCTGTCTGTGCAAGAGTGATGTTTGGGACACTTAAAGTGAGTATGAATGTAGCCATGGCCTGCTGCTCCAGGCTACAGCAGAACACAAGCCTGGCAGACTAGCTAGACCACACGCAATAGAAGTCTTCCTCTGTCCATATAGTGCCCAGTATCATACAAGCTTCTCGGCCATATATGACTGGTTCACATAGTCATTGCCTCTCCTGCAAGTTAGACTTGACCGGGAGTCTTGAGCATGACGCCCGGGCCGGCATTGCTTCATGTCCCACTTGCCAGTGCAATGTCAGTTCCCCTGGATGCCAGCAATCTGCTATTCCCATACCCCATTGCATGAGCTCTTCATGTGTCACTTGTTAGTTCTCTCATTCTTAGTACAGTCAAACCTGTCTAAGACGACCACTCAAGGGACCTTCAAAACGTGGTCTCTGTTACCAGGTGGTCTCCTTAGCCAGGGTCATTTGGCTGGAAATAACATCCCTTGATCCTGGCTTCAGTGGTCTTCTTGGACAGGTGGTCGCCTTATCCGAGTGGTTGCCTTGACAGGTTTTTTGTAACTGTCAATATCGTTTCGTTTTCAAATTTCATTCTTTTCTTGCTTTTCCATTCTACACCTCAGGTACAGCCTCCCTAAGGTTCAAGTTATCGGTAAGAAAGTCCTGAACAAGTACACGCGCGGACTGCGCGTGAAGTGGGAAGCCCAAACCGAGCAGATTAAACCATACAGTGCGTTGGTAACGAATGTTACGGATCAGCTCCTATATTCCACGCCGTCGTTGGACTACTGTGAAGCTAACGACGGGACGGGAGCGCTGGGCACTGCTGGACGACAGTGCGATCCCAACAAGACCGGACCAGGTAGCTGCAATCACCTGTGCTGTGCTAGGGGCTACAATGAGAGGCGGCGCATCGAGGAGAGAAAGTGTAATTGTAAATTCCTGTGGTGTTGTCGGGTGGTGTGCTCGCGATGCTTGACGGTAAACAAGCACTACACGTGTCGATGAGCAGCAGCAGCAGCAGCAGCAGCCGTGTCACTGTTGAGACAAAGATTGCACCTTCATATGCATGTGTACGGGTACCCATACTGTTCCATGAGACAAGCTGTGTTAGCATCTCATGGCCAGCAGCATGAGCTGAGAATACCAGCTGCTGGTCATGACTATGACTCAGTGTCAGCATACATGTAGGTTACTCAGCTTTACACTATCCTGCACAGATATCTATTGCAGTGCCGTGTTTGTCGTGACACTGCCTGGCATCTGTGTTGCTATGTCTACTTAACGGCTACAAGTCCCTAATGTTCTCACTGTCACTGAAGATTATAACGATGGTGACTTAACGCAAAATGAACGCTTACCACCTTTTACCCACAACCTAATTTTGGCAAGTAATCGAGATAATTCCGTTTTTGATGATTCGTAGAATTTGTAAATAATACTAAAATAACATTATCACTCTTTAGCAGGAAATACGCAAGTGGTACAGGTTTTGTTGTTCTTCCTACATGTCGTTGCCAGTTTACATGGTTGGTCGATGTAGTACATGTACTGGTCTTGCACATTACAGTTGATTGTTATCAGGCCATTGCGACCTTACACTTTTGCTTTAGCCGTCGTTATTTCTTTACGAGACAACTTACTTGAGCATAAACTTACTACTTACTACTTACTACTATCCTGAATGATACACATTTAATCTATCAGCTAACTACAGTACTATGGTACTAGCAATCATGGACTACATGCGCTTGAAATCCTTCACTTGAAAACATGTTTTATTGTCGGCTACCTTCCAGAGTTCTTGGCTCACTCCATGGACTTTGGCAGGAAGGGGGGGGGGGGAAGGGGGCAACCTGTCCTAGGCCAGGGGACACCGAACAGACCGGCCACCCCTGGTCAGGGGAATATACATGTACATGTAGGCCAATAGGGACCGGCACCCCCTGGTCAGGGGATATACATGTACATGTATTACGATGTACATGTACATTGTAGGCCAACAGGGCCCGGGACTGGCCACCCCTGGTCAGAGGATATACAAGTAGGCCAATAGGGGCCAGAACCCCTCAGCCTGGTCAGGGGATATGACATGTACATGTACATGTATGTAATAAGCCAAGTTCAACTCGGATGGTGAGCCAATTCATAATACTTCAAAAGTAGTACAAAGTCATGTACTTCGACTACAACCATAACTCTGCCAACCGGGTTGTACTTGTAGTCAGGAGCACTATGTCACGTGTCCTCCTCGCCTTGTAACAAAAATGCTGTCAAAATCGAAAAACATGACGGTACTGTTTGTACAATAAACAACAAGTCATGTACAGTAGTTTCGGCCACCAAATAGGCCTTGACAGATTATGCTAATATTTTCGTGAAATTATGCTTTTCGCATTGCTGAAAAAAATGCAGAATTATGCCATTTTTATGCTGAAAGTTATCATGTTATGCCGCATTATGCTCAAATATGCTGCTAATGTACATGATTGTAGTATAATGATGGTTATGTGCAAAATAATAGGGGAATTTTTTTGTAGAGGGCGTTGTACTGTAGTAGCAAAAGTTCAACGGGGTCAACGCACCGTCCGACCTACAATTGTAGCTACGACCGTCACTGATTGTAGTGGACTGGACATGTTATCAAGGGAGTCGTAAACCTACGACTTCCTGGTGCACATCTACTTGTACTTGTAGAACATGTACATTGGAAAGGCTTTCTGTCTAAAGCCTTTCCATACTGGTGCTCGATGTTTTCAGTTTGGGGACACCAAAATTAGTGTACCGCTAAAGACACGTGGTCGACACGTTGTTGACACGTTGCTGACACTTTGTTGACACGTGACCCAATTACCGGCCTACCAAGTGCCTTTGGTGACCGCTAACAGCAACTGTGGAACAGTGCAGTGCCCTTTTTTGGAGCAACGTACGAGTAGTGCCCATGGATTATGACCCCGCGACCCCAATCTACGTGGCGGTCCGCAATTCGCTACTTCATACTGACTGGCGTCCGGCATCGTCCCGAATTTGGCCACAATCTGCTCTCGGGACCCCTATAGGGCTCCCTGACCTGCTCCATCTCCGCCATCGTCAATGTACTGCGCATCCACCCAGGCCAGGACTGCACTTACTTACGGGAAGGAGTATTTGCAAGATGGAACCTGGGAACTGGAAGACGACGAAGAGGAAGCGTGGGAATCCGGCGGCAATGGCTGGGATGTAAGTCCAACATTGCTGGTGCCAGAGTTGCCACTGCTTGCTTATAAGGGAATCATGTGTGTTGCCTTTTTGCCTTTTCCGACGTCCTCCTCCGACTGTACTCCCGATCCCAGGACTGAACTTACGGGAAGGAGTGCTTCCAAGATGGGAGACGAAGAAGAAGAAGCCGCTGAATCCGGCGGCAATGGCTGGGATGTAAGTCCAACATTGCTGGTGCTAGAGTTGCCACTGCTTGTTTATAAGGGATTCATGTGTGTTGCCCTTTTTTGCCTTCTCCCATGTTCTCCTCCGACTGTACTGGTGAACGCTGTCACATATGTTGCCATTTCCAGACAGTAGAAGGGAGGGGGGGGGGGCAGCACATCCTGGCATCCAGGAATGCTAGGCCCTAGGAACTAGGCAATCTGACCTTTCCTCTTACTCCAATAATGGTATGGATGGGGAGTTCTTGAACATCCTCAGTCTTGTTAGAGTGAACTGTGCAACTCGGCAATCGGTGATAGCAGAGGACCAATGCCGATGCTCCTTCCTTTTTCTCTGTCACAGGCTGCGTTCTCGAGAGGAAGCGTTATTTCTGCATTCCAAGAAGGACGGCACAATGGTGAGTGGAACTTCGTGGGTGTGCAGCAGTGAGTGGAACTTCGTGGGTGTGCAGCCTTGCTAGTTGAATTGTAAATCAACCATTCTTCCTGTCTCTGACTTCTTCAATGTCCTCCTCAGTGTCGGACTGTCCGCGTCGCATTGAACTGGTCCGATGAGGCTGCTATTGCACACACAGTGAGGGAACTCCCATACGGGAACTCGGAAGTACTGCTACAGTACAGGTAAGGTGGCCATTGCTTATGTGCGTGCGCCGTTGTTGTCAACTTCTAAGCCAGCTGTACTCCAACCTTCATGGAGTTTGAAAGTAGTCAGCTGGCGAACTACAATTGAAGTTTAGACGTTATATGCCGCGGCTTGGTCAGCTTTTTCAGTTTCACAATGCATTGCACTCAGCACCGCTTCTCGGAATATCTTGTCAGGATAGCTGTGGAACGCATCCTCCCCAGTGGGGGAACGGCAAATGTGCTGTTCATTTTTTAGGCTTGCTTTTATGGTACGTACAAATCCCCATTGAAAAGACACAGTGGAGACCAGAAACTGCAAATAGATGTTGGGAACCGCGAAGACCACCCTTCCTTGTCAAGTTCCCTGAAGGTGTGGAGGGGGGGGGGGGAGCGGAGGAGGGACATTCCTGCACTTCTTAAGCAGGATTCACAGGAGCATTTTCAGAAATTGCTTGTACATTTGTACCAGTTGTAACTGACAAACGCATTCTCATTGAGCTTATCTTGTCAGGATAGCTGTGGAACGCATCCTCCCCAGTGGGGGAACGGCAAATGTGCTGTTCATTTTTTAGGCTTGCTTTTATGGTACGTACAAATCCCCATTGAAAAGACACAGTGGAGACCAGAAACTGCAAATAGATGTTGGGAACCGCGAAGACCACCCTTCCTTGTCAAGTTCCCTGAAGGTGTGGAGGGGGGGGGGGGAGCGGAGGAGGGACATTCCTGCACTTCTTAAGCAGGATTCACAGGAGCATTTTCAGAAATTGCTTGTACATTTGTACCAGTTGTAACTGACAAACGCATTCTCATTGAGCTTTGACTTGAGGCACGTCAGCAAGGCGCTGTTGCATCGCTGACGTCTTGTCCTGATTCTGTAAATGGTATTTTGTGCGAGTTTGCATCGCACGCAGAATCGCAGGTCTTGTCGCATTGCGCAGCACACTGCCAAATTGCTTCTGTGAATCCCACGTGAATGGGAATTCCAATGGGAATGTAATCCATTGCCAACAGGTGTATTCCTGAGCTGCTCATCATACTGCAAAATTGCTCCTGTGCATGCAAATGGATTTCATTGCTCTTCTGTAGCTTGGGAAATTCTCGATTATGATAATTCTGCGTGTGTGTGTGTACACCAGCCCTGAACATACATGTAGGTGACCCATTTGTGGTGTCTCATAGCCTACCTCACGACCTTATGCTTTCTTTCTGTATCACTTGTATCTTGCAGGTATATCACCCCGTGACGACCACATCGAAGTCTGAAATTGAAGTGTGAAGATGCTTCAGCAACCCCTTCATATTTTTCCATTGCTTTTATTGTGCTTCTACTGTGCATGTGTGTAACCTGTGGGGTATGCATGTGATGACAATGTATGCCGGTGACACGGTCAGATTTTGTCCATGCGTGTAACGTACACCTGCATGCTATCGTTGAAAAGGATCTGCCACTTACGATCTTCGGACGAGTATCAGGTCAGCTTGGTTTTGTGTGGGCTGTACCAGACGCTGTTCACTTCTCTATCTGTTGGATATGTGACTTTCTGCAAGTTTCTGGTGTATGGTGGCCACTTCTTTGCTTGTCTTCGTATGACATTACAATAATTCTGTATTCACTGCTTCCATGGTGTGGTCTGCAAACTGCAATCCTTCGGGAAATATCATCACGGTTTGCAATATTGTGCTTTGGCCGCTAGCTTACCTACACATTGTATATGTAGTTGAATTATTTTTGTTTCACAACTGACTTCCTGAAGTATGGTGGCCACTGCTTTGCATGGCATTATACAATGTTCATCAAGAATTTCCTGTTTGGGTCGTGTGTGTGTATGTATGTGTGTGCGTGCCCATGTGTGTGTGTGCCATGTGCATGTGCGTGTTTGTCACAAGGTGTCTGTGTGCGGGGTAGCGAGGTGGGGAGGGCTGGAATGTATCAGTGTGCTACTGTAGTTGCATGGCTACAGTCAGTGCATCGCGCGCGTGCTCACCATGTTTATCTTCGGAGCTGGGCTAGGGTGGGGGAGGGAACAGAAAAAGAACTGAAATTACCCATATAAAAACCGCTCTGTGAGCGGTTCTGAAAAACCTCTACTGGTGCAGCCCTGTCGTAAAAGTAAGAAATTAGAACTGGCGCATTGTCCTCCCAAATGTGAACTGATCCACCTAAATCGCGATTGACGGGACCCGAACGCACCAGTAGCACGAGGTCGGGAGGGCACAGGATCACAGCCGGCGTCGGCGCTGATCAAGTTACCATACAACACTTAGATCTACACCGAAGCCCACCTTTGCCGCTTTGGCTTTGGCTATGGACCAGCGTCCCCAGCTGCATCCACAGGTAGGAACCTCGTGCTACTGGTGCGTTCGGGTCCCGTCAATCGCGATTTAGGTGGATCAGTTCACATTTGGGAGGACAATGCGCCAGTTCTAATTTCTTACTTTTACGACAGGGCTGCACCAGTAGAGGTTTTTCAGAACCGCTCACAGAGCGGTTTTTATATGGGTAATGTACATGTACAACTGTATGGAATTACATGTATATGAGGCAAACAGGCGGACTACCGTATTTCCGCAAATACCGTGGCCTCCGTAGGCCGGTCTACTATTTTTTCAAACTCGTCCTTACCCGGCCTTATAATTGAGGACGGTCATTTATTCTTTCAACCCAGTTTGACCCCCCGGTCTTCTATTTTTCGCCACACAGTTTTACCCCCGTTCTTCCATTTTCTTCTACACAGTTTGAGCACGGTCTTCTATTTTTCTCATACTCATTTAGTAGGCCCGGTCTTCTAATCGGAGACAGTCTTGTATTTTTTCAATCGCCCCCTAGGCCCTGCCCCGGCCTTGTATTCGAGGAAGGCGTTGTACATGTATACGAGGACGGTCTTTTATTTGCGGAAATACGGTATTCCAATTTATGCGATTCGTATGCAATTTGCCTCGAATTATGCGATTATTCGATTTTGGTAGGAATTACGCGAAAAATTATGCTAGCATAACCCGTCAAGGCCTACCACCAAACATTTATTTATTTTATTTATTTATTATTACAGCATCTCATAGCACAGTGAGAACACCGGCCAATACAAAGAGAGAGAAACATAATTGAAACTGCATCAGTGCAGCATGTTCAGCTCAGTACACAGTCTGCTGTTGTAGTCAGTAACCATGGTAACATCAAGAGTACAATCATAACTACACAGTGTGTGTAGTTATGTACTCTTGCCGGAGTCTTGGTAACATGTTAATAGTTCTTCCACTGTTCCAGTGACCATGGTGACCAGGGAGTCGTAAAAGCCCGGGAGAGGACACGGCACACATTCCCAGAAAACATCTTTGCCTCGCGCTGCCGGGGAACGTTGCCAGGGAACGGTGTCGCGAGGCAAGGAAATTATTATTTTCGAAAATTGTGATGTCTTCTTGAAATACTAATTGGGACATTCTCCGATTTCTCTTAGAGCACGGAGACGATTGCTCCGTCGAGTCTTCTGATCTCTATTTTCATCCTCAATTCTTCCAGCTGCCTCACTCATTCTCTCTCAGTTTATCGAAGTTAATTTATTCTGAGGCGATGGAAATGCAAGATAAATCCCTAATTGTACTTCAATTTTATTTGAGTTGGGTGAACGAAATGAGATTTGTGGAAAATGACGCCACTTCCCGTGTTAGCCGCTGGTCGTATCATACAGCCCATATTCCATTGCAGGTGATCATGGTGATGGGCGAACGTTCGTGTTGAGATCCGCTGAGCTTCCTCGTACTCGTGGAGGTGAATTTGTGGCAGAAATTGCATTGAATTGCAGTCAAATGGTTGTGAATGAAACGAGATTTGTGGAAAATGACGCCACTTCCCGTGTTAGCCGCTGGTCGTATCATACAGCCCATATTCCATTGCAGGTGATGGGAGAACGTTCGTGTTGAGATCCGCTGAGCTTCCTCGTACTCGTGGATTTATGAATTTGTGTCAGAAATTGCACTGAAATTGCAGTCGAGTGGACTTCTGTGCGTGTGTTGTGAGTGAATCGCAAAGGCTCCCTTCCTTCAGCATCGTCAAAACGCAACATAGAGCATTATTACGCACTCGTTCCATGATTCATGATATTGCCTGGATTCTTTTAAAAACAATCAATGTGTGTTCCCTATCTATCTACATTGTACATGGTTGCAGGTCGTTATTTATAGATCTTGTTAAAATTTTCTACACTTTTCTACTCGTATACTGAGTACTTTAGCCGTTTAGGAAATGGAAGGCTCAGCCTCCAGGTTGGCCAGAAAGGTTCTCAGTGAATCTAACCGAAGTCTTGGCGAGTGTACAAAAGGTAAACCTATCATTTGTCCTTCATAACGGAATTGTGCACAAAAATGCGCACGCATGCGTGCGCGCACACACACAAACACTGTACAAACACACACAAAAGTACAACTACTACAAGCACATGTGCACATACACACGCCTCCCCCCCCCCCCACACACACACACACTCAACTCCCCACCCCCTGTATGTACTGAGTCTGACAGACAGACACACAATCATGATTATGCTTCCTTCTCCGCCAGTTTCGGATAATGGTGTCAACAAGGAGTTGTAAAATATTGGTATTTTAGGACTCCCTGCCCTGCAGACGAGCACAGCGCCGTGGATCGAGCAGATCCGGCCGCGCCGGCCTAGCGTGCTTCACTTTCTGGCCGAGGCAAACATCGTCCGCGTGCGCGCATCCCGTGTCCTCTCCCGGGCTTTTACGACTCCCTGATGGTGACTCATGAGTCATGTCATGAATGATCACATGATCATTCCCCGGCCCCGGCCACTGCCATGCCCGGCAATGCCAATGCCATGGCAATGCGTCACCTGGCATAGCGGGGAGATTCCCGATATTGCCATAATAATTATTATAATACTTTTTGTGCTTACTTCATCAGAATACTTACTTAGTACATGCACTCTGTTACCTGGTATTCAGTGTGCAGAAGTGCAGTCACTACGAGTACGAGTAGATCTACGACAGTAGTCACCTTGGTCACGTCAGTGCAAGACTGAAGTGCAGGGATCGATCGGGAGTTGGGAGGTCCGCGATCCGATCCGAGCAAGAAAGACACACAAGTCGCGAAGTCGCAAAGAATGAATTTTTATGAGCAATCATTGTAGTAAGTAAGGTTTGGTGAGAAGCGGAAATAAAGGAAACGGGTCTGACAGAACTAAAAAATTAATAATATCTCACTTACAGGCGCCAGGCAGGAAAGAGAGCATCGGCTGCTCCCCCGGCCCTTGTCCAGGACGTTTTGCGTTCTTGCTACTTGCATATTTGAGTGGGACGTGTGCAAGGCACCTGTCCCTGCCGATAATCTGCCTCTGACCTGTGAACTAACTTACAGGAGTTTGCTTGGTCATAGATTTTATTTCAACTACGCGGTATCAACCCGCAACCAGGTTTGAGACATAGCCACTGTTGTTGGAGTAATTGAATCGCAGAAAGAAGCCCGACAACAATCTAGAAATATGTGTAGAAGTCGACTAGAACGCGAGGCGGAAATGCTGGCTCGTAGTGTTATGTACGATTGGCGAACTAGGATTTGCCCGTCGGAGTCGCAACCCAGCACACCGGAGACTGGCGGGGCGCAGAGATTAGCTACGTACGGAGAATACGTGTGTCGTGGCCTAGATCTTGTGAATAATGTCGTTGAAGAAGGTGCCTCAGAGGAGATGTTCATGGATGATGACCATTTCAAGCGACATCACTCCGGTAAGATTTTTCGTAACATTTTTTGAATTTTCCTGGTGCCCTTGTTGCGGAAATTCGGTAAAATAAAGAAACCTGTCTAAGACGACCGCTCAAGGGACCTTTAAAATGTGGTCTCTGTTACCAGGTGGTCTCCTTATCCAGGGTCATTTGGCTGGAAATAGCATCCCTTGGTCCTGGCTTCAGTGGTCTTCTTGGACAGGTGGTCGCCTTATCCTAGTGTAGTAGTGGTCGTCTCATCCTAGTGTAGTAGTGGTCGTCTTGACAGGTTTTACTGTAGGCAGTTGGACCACGGTGTTGCCACGTGCCCTCTACCCCCATGCGTACTGCCCAGTGCCATTTTGCAGAATTTTTCAGAGTTTTGCGTACTCGTTTTTTTTCAGGTCGAGATTCTGACTGATTACTAGTGTAGAGGGGACGGTTTCAAATAGGACAGAGGTTGCAAACCGGAACGGACTCAATATTCACTTTCGCTCTTGGTATTTTGATTAGAAAACATAGTCACAGTGAGACTACGATGTGTTATAATCCGAGCCAAAATTGCATGGCTCTGCGATGACCAGAAGCGCCATACCAAGCAGGTGAGTTTTTGACGTGTTGCTTCGCACTGCGACTTGAGTTTTACGACTTTCGAAAAATCAACTTCTTGTCGCAGGTAAACAGCGGCTCGCCTCTCGCCAATAAAGCACCGCATACCAATCAAAACTAATGGAAGCACACACAAGGCTTATTGTTACACTGTACTGGGCGTCGTGGAGCGATAGCAATTACCTAATTTCAGACCCAGGGTGAATTTGACGTGCACTCTAAAACGTGTCCGGTTTGGAGCCACCTCTGATTTGAACTTTTTTGAAGCGAAAAATTGGGCAACTTGGAGGCAATGGGTCAACACAAAGGAGTGGCTCAGTTCGATTGACTCTGGCCCCAGAGCAAACTTCAACATGCCAGTTTCCTTCAACAAACATATTTCGAGTGAAAAATCAACGCTGATGATCGGTTTGGGTCTATACAAATTTGGCTGTCAAAGCGTCCCGGTATCGAGCCATCCCCTCTACATGTGTCTGGTGATATGGTTGAAACCTCCGTGTCCAATGCCGAAATCACTGTTGCAGTGCTTGCAGAAAGCGAAGTGAACCTTCTTGCTACTCGTTATTCCTGGCGGTAGCGACCACGACTCTTTGAAGCAACCGGCAGCTTTTTTCGACTTTTCTTCAATCCAGGAGGACCAGCTTCTCGCCTAGGTTCCCGTCAGAATCCATACTTATGACTACACACTGTCATAACTGAAATCCCTACCATTTCCTGTCCATACCGTCTTGTCCACTTCGTTGATCTGGCCAAGACTGACATTGAACACGAGCGGCAAAATGCTCGATCGAAAACGGCAACCTGAGAGCTCTTGCGCTCTACAAGCTCTGAAAAGGGCGCACTGCGGCACAAGTCACACCACAAGGGTGGCGGTTAGGGCAGTTTGAACAGACCCATTCAGGTCTGCACACACACACACACACACACACACACACACACACACACACGCACACACCCGTTACGGCGGCAGGCTGCTACCGTATATATGCACATGTAGAGCGGCGCACTGCAGGCTGCATTCACTCTGCAATCCGATTTTGGATTGATCGATCGTGGACACATGGATGGCCGTCTTCTGCACCATTTTTCACTGATTTCGAAGACACCGTATTTTTCACTTTTGCGGGGTAATTCGATTGAAATCCGTACTGCAGACTAAACCTTCGTTTTCCGTAAAAAATGCATACAAATACGGGCGGTTGGCAACACTACGACCATGTGTTGTATCCATTGTCTTATACCGTATTTTACCGGTTATAAGTCGATCCCCGATACTCGGGGCCTCGATTTACCCGTTCAATATCAATATAGAGAAACCACAAACCGCTGGATGCAGTATTCTGTTCATGAGGTTTGTGGCGTCTCGTAAAGAAGTATCAACGGGGTGGATATGACTCTTAGCTTCTGTGTGTGTGTGTGTGTGTGTGTGTGTGTGTGTGTGTGCATGTGTGTGTGCATGTGTGTGTCTCCACGTGTATATTACTCTCCAGCTGCGTCAGCTGCCGAAGCAGGCATTGAATCTGGTGCTGAAGACGGACCTAGCGAGGAGGATATGGAAAAAGTCCACAACATCCTTGCAGACCTCAAGACAGAGATGGATAAGAATTTTTCTGATCTACCTGCTGGTGACCAACTGAAGTTAGTTGGCAACCTAGTGCAGAAGGACCTTCCTGCATTGGTGCAATATTCGTTATACAAATCGGTAAGTCCTGGTGTGTGAGTGAGAGTATTGATGGCTAGTTCAATCTGTAGTGGTTGGTGCTTTTCAAGCGGCGGCGCAGCAGTTCCCAATGCTTCTCTAGATCCGACTTGCTGTGTACTGTGTAGATTTCGACTTGGTACTTCTCGCCTGTAGTCTGGTCTATCAGTAGAATTGTTCGATATGTTTACCCGTATTATGTGCGCTGCTGTTGCCACTCTGTACGTCAATTATCTATACATGTGTCGTGAATATGCATCACGAATCCGCGTTACGCTGATTATTATGTCTTGATTTGTTTATGTGTTACATCATGTCGACGTCATGCTGATGTCTTGCGGCACGCGTCGCGTGCACCGTTTTGCAGCTCTCAGCCCAGAGCATGCGCAGCGAGCCTGTGGCTCCTTTTTTGCTGCCTTTTTCCTTTTGCATGCTTCACTTGTCTCAACTTGTCTCCAATAATGTTTTCTGGTGACACTCCTTTTCAGTCACCTAATCCTTTCAAGTAACAAGTGCAATGTCGTTCCGTGAACCGGAACCCCTCCATATTTGAGTTACCAAGACGTATTTGTGCGTGGCTATACAAGCTCTCCCACTCAACAGTTCAAAGTTGTGCACAACATGCATCATACTCAGACGTTTTCAGGGCCGGTTGTTTGTCGAAGTAACTAGTTAACAGTGCGCGTGTGTGTTTAGGACTGTTTTGATGTAAATTTTTCTTTGTTGTCTATTCTGCAGTTAGGTGCGTAATAGCACCTCATTGGCCCCGCTCGTTCCTCGTTCTGTATTCCATTTGGCCTAAGCGAAGACTAGCCAAGCTTGCTTGGCGGTGTTAACGCAAAGGGCCGATAATATTAAAAAAGTGCAGCAGTTTCGATAGGACGTGCTGATGTTTCATTAAGTTAACTGCCTGTCCTGCCAAACTATCGGAATCCTGCTACTTGCAATTCATATTGTTTTGTCTCGTTAGTGCCGAATCCATTTCGTATTACTTCGAGATTTGATTTGCCCTCTCTGGAGCGATGCGCACTCAGATCTAACGATGGGTACTAGAATTGCCTAGAATAGTACAAGGAATTGACTGTGGCATTGAGTGGTATCAAACATCTTTGCCATGTGTTTGATGTTGGTTTCAGAGTGTGTTCGAAATTACGCGAAAGTTTGGAGGCGGCTTCTTCCGGTCGGTGAGCACCGTCATGCAGCTGACCTGCTGTGTGCTGCAAGCACTCCATGATAGCACTCTCGGTGTTCCGCTGACTCCACAGCTGGAAACCGAGATCATGAAGCACACCTCCAACATCATCACGGACTTGGCGAAAGCGGGAGGAATGAGTGACGATACCAGTATCGTGTCCGAGGTCCTCAACATGGAGGATAATGACGATTTATGAGATGGCTTGGGGTATTCACACCTGCTTCTAGAGTGTGGCTACGTTTCCCCTGTATTTATGATGAGTTCACGAAAAACGAAACAGCATGCTGTCCACAGATTAAGCATATCCATCTCAATCTCAGGCCAATTATATGTGTGTACAAAAAAAGCCACTCTTCGCAACCTGCAACGAGTGTCTGTGTACTCAAGGTTCTGGAGCTTGCCTGGGCAGTTGCATTGTAGAGCTGTTTCGGTTAGATGACTGTGCCATATCGTAATGATTGCGCAGTGCTGCATGATACTGATGTATATAGTAGCAAGTACTTGATTGCGCAATGCTGCATGATACTGATGTATATAGTAGCAAGTACTTGTACTGCTACCACTCTATAGTATGTCCTGGAGGATGAGATGCTTTTCTTGAAAGTTTTGTCTTTTCTTTTTCTGTGCTGTGTTTGAAGTTTTGCCACCTGCATGCCTGCATTATGACCTGTAAAACCGGTACCTCCTCTTTTTTAAAGAGTCGGCGTGGAGAAAGCAATTTTATTAGTGCAATTAGGAGTATAATCGATGCAGACATGGCCAGACAACAACGAGTTCATGGAATTTTTAAGGATTTTTATGTTATTCAAAATCGATTTTCGTGTTCCGCTCATCAGTGAATAGTATCGGAACTGAGGGTACTGTGTACAACAATAGAACATTTTATAACAGCATAATTAATTAAAAGTGTGAACAACAAAGGAAGTGCTACAGCATTACATAATAGGTGTCAAACATAGTGCTAACGTATAACTGAGTGCAGCCACAAAGCAAGAGGTGATACAGTGCAACATATTATACTCCTAATTGCACTCCTCTTTTTTTTATACCTTTTTTCTCATTCTATCCGTTTTAGTTCTTGAGTAGATGTCAACAAGATGCATGCATAAGTTAACTGGCAAGCTACTTCAAAGTATTATTTATACATTAGTGCCGTATGCTCTGCTTTAGTCTGTGCTTCATAGCCTGTTTTTATCGGATCAAGCACAACTCATGTTGCACATCCCATGTATTGCTTATATTTTGCATTGATTCTTTTAAAAACGAGTTCCATGCCTTTTTTGCTATGCATGTTCACGTGGATTCACCGGTTGTGTTAGCGGCCGTCAAGTGCAACCATGGCAACCAATGTGAGTACAGACAAGTCACGCACAATCAAGGAGTCCTGTCCGGTCTCTTTGTCGTCTGTACCTACGTTACCGTTTACGGGGGAGCTCTTGTCAAAAGTTCACCCGGTTGCCATGGCAACCGCCGAAACCATGGCAACACCGCGGAACATTGGTCATCAGTCTGCAGGGAGTAACCAGGCAAGTGGCATTGCTCAGTCTGGCGCGCAGCAGGCACCGGTATCTACGTCGGCAGCTTCGGCAAGAAACGTAATCACTGCCCCTAACCGTAGTTCAAGTGGGGTCAGTGTACCACCCAGAGCATTGTCGGCCACGACCATACTCGTGCAGTCAGCCCAGACGCAACCAACTCCTGCAGTGCAGCCTCCTCGTGGGACGCAACCAACTCCAGCTGTGCAGCCTCGTGCAGTTGCAAGTCATACTCTCTCGGCTTCTACGCCTGCATTTGTGCCGGGATCAGGAAATTTGTACGTTCCGCCGCCGACCCATTCTGGACATCCATTCTCATTTGGAACACCACCGGGTTTCTTGTCGGCACCCGACTTCCCGACGCACGTCTTGCCGAATCAGTCTGGAATAATGTCTACCCCACCAGCGACCCAACCGGTCATGCAACAAATACCAGTTGGTCAGCCAGGTCACGCGTCACACCGTGAAGATTATGGTCTTGTGCAGCCGAGCAGTCTTCCAGTTGCCATGACATCGCCGAGTGGTCTACCAGTGCAAGCGAGTAGTTCTGGTAGAATCGAATTGTACCGACATTTAGAGAAAGTGTCAATTCCAACGTTCAAGGGCGACAAGCGGCAATATGAGACGTGGAAGGCGGCGTTTGAGATGTGCATTGGCTGCGCTAACATTCCGGATGGGCTGAAGTTATTGCAGCGCCGAAAATACCTCGCGGGCGATGCACTACGGTCTATCGACACTCTTGGCTACTCGGCCGAGGCGTATGAGGCAGCACGACGTAGGCTGGAACGCAAGTTCGGTGGTCAGCGACGTCTAGTTGCAGTGCATCTAGAAGCCCTTGAGAAGTTCCCAGCGATGAGATCTGCAAACGCCCAGGAGTTGGAGCGTTTTGCGGAGCTACTCGATGTCGCTGTGGTGAATTTGAAGGCGAGTGGTCAGACACAGGAGTTGGCTAACGGGACATTTTATGTCCGGCTAACACAGAAGCTGGGGGTGTCTCTTCTGCTGAGCTACCAGAAGTGGATACACCAGACCAGCACCTCTGAATCTGTCGAAGCGCTTCTGCAATGGGTGGAGCTGGAAAGCGAGTTCCAAGTACGAGCCCAGGAGACGATCCAAGGTATCTCCACGGCAACTCCAGTAGGGTCCACTCAAACAGCAAAGAGTCACCCGCTGAAGGGTCAGGCCAGTCATGGTGGAGTGAAGCATCAGGCATTCTTCGCTGACAAGCCCAAGAAGGCCCAGAGCAGCAGCAGTTGCCCGATCTGCACGAAGGTCCATCCCGTTTGGAAATGCCTAGAGTATCGGAAGCTGTCAATTGCAGAGCGTTGGCAGAAGGCCCGGACGCTCAAGCTTTGCTACCGTTGCCTTAACTCTGGTCATTTGGGAAATAACTGTCCCAGGTCGCAGCCCTGTGGTGCCGACGGTTGTACAGAGACCCACAACGCGTTGCTGCAATGAAAGTCTAGTGCTACTACAGACTCGAATGGAGCCTCACAGAAGCCAGTGCTCCAGTCTAGCGCCTCCACGGAGGGGGGTGACACCAGTTCCATGGCCACACATATGAGTAGTGTCGGCGTTAGAGCTGTCGCACTGCGAACCGTTCCCGTCATACTTCGCCACGGCGACAAGAATGTCACGGTCAACGCGCTGCTGGACGACGGCAGCACGCAGTCTTACCTTAATTGCGACGTTGCGGCACAGCTAGAGCTTAGCGCTCCCACACAAGAAGTGTCAGTGAGCACGCTGAACGGCCGCATCGAGACCCTAGAGACCATACCAGTCGACTGCCACATCGAGAGTCTGGATGGCAGATTTATCACACAGTTCTCTGCTCTGACTGCCAAGAATGTCACCGGTAACCTTACACCTCATGATTGGTCGGTAGATCAGACACGGTATCCGCACCTCAACGGCATTGAGTTTCCGCAATGCCAGAAGAAGCGAGTAGAGGCGCTGATCGGCCTTGACCACGCTAGTCTTCACAGGTGCATGGAGGAAGTCTATGGTGAGGCTCATGAGCCATTCGCACGCAAAACGCCACTCGGGTGGACATGCGTTGGCAGGAGCACCAGACCGCAACAGACGACAAATTTCACCCGCACGTACTTCGGAAAGGACGTCGACCTGAATGCACTGGTGAGAAGGATGTGGGAAGTGGAGGAACTTCCCCAGTCGTACAAATTCTGTGCAGATGATCAAGCCGTTTTTGATCAGACGGTCCAGTCGATGACCTACAAGAACGGAAGATACCAGGTTTCGGAGCCGTGGATCAAGAGACCACCTCCGGACAACTACAGTCGAGAAACTGCAATGAAGCGGCTCATCGCAGCAGAGAGACGCCTGGCGAAGGAGCCAGACGTCGCTGAGGAATACCGAACCGTGATTCGCCGTCACTTAGAACAAGGGTATATCAGCAAGATCAGCAACGCAAGTGATGGCGACGGCTGGTATCTGCCGCACTTTGCTGTTGTACGACCTGGGGCTACATCCACAAAGGTGCGTGTGGTCTTTGATGCAGCAGCAAAGACGAAAGGCAAGTGTCTGAATGACTACATCAGCACTGGGCCCAAACTACAACGGGACCTCACCGACGTTCTCCTGCGGTTTCGGCGACACCCAAACGCACTGGTAGCCGACGTGGCAGAGATGTATCTACAAATCGAGTTGGAAGAGGATTACCGGCAGTTCCATCGATTTCTTTGGCGAGAAGATACGGAGGACCAACCGGCCGTTTACCAGTACAATAGAGTGGTGTTCGGGATCAATGCATCTCCATTCTTAGCTCAACTGGTCTCGCAAGAGCATGCGCGGCGGAACCAGGAGGAGTTTCCTATGGCAGCAGAAACCGTGTTGAAGTCCACGTACATGGACGATTCAATGGACTCGACAAAGTCAACAGAGCTAGCGATTCAGCTGTACCACGAGCTTACGGCGCTGTGGGGTCTCGCTGGAATGCATGTGCGAAAATGGATTTCCAACAATGTTGAGGTGCTCGCCGAAGTCCCCGAGGAGGACCGAGCCAAGGAAGTGGACATCGCTAATGGAATCCTGCCGACGACCAAGACTCTCGGAGTTAAGTGGCGAGCAGAGGAAGACGAGTTCCTGATTCATGTCAAGCCGCCATCACACATTGCCACCAAGAGAGCGTTCTTGAAGAACCTAGCCACATTGTTTGATCCGATCGGATTCGTACTGCCGTTCACCATAGTTGGTCGGATGTTGTTCCAGAAGATGTGGCTAGCAGGTGCTGACTGGGACGTCTCTCTGCTGCCAGAGCTAGGTGCAGAGGCGCAAAAGTGGTGTGCCGACAAGGATGCACTCCAGGATGTCCGAGTTCACCGGTGTCTTCAACGCGATGAGGAGGTGGTGGAGACTCAGCTACATGTATTCTGCGATGCCTCGCAAGATGCATATGGAGCAGTCGCTTATCTCTGTCATGTGTACCAGGATGGTACGAGGTCCAGTCGATTCGTCATGGCTCGAGCCAAAGTGGCGCCGTTATCAGCTGTTAGCATCCCCCGACTCGAGCTAATGGGAGCAGTCATCGGATGTCGTCTTGGTGTGTCCGTAGCCAAGACACTCGCCATCGCAATGGAGAATGTCGTGTTCTGGAGTGTCAGCATGGATGTCCAAGTGGTGGAAAGAGTACCCGGATCTCAGTGTCGGTGACATCGTCCTCGTTGTGTCAGCTGATACCCCCGTGGCAGGTGGCCTCTTGGACGGGTGTTGGAGGTCTACCCTGGTTCTGACGGCAGAGTGCGTGTCGCTAAGCTCCAGGTCGGAGGCAAGCAGGTAACCAGGTCAGTTGTACGGCTATGTCCGGTTGTGAAAGGCTGACAGTCCGTACGCACGTTTTAGATGGACCGTGCTTATCGCCATCTTTAGTCAGTTCGATCTCTTTTCTCATTTTACTCATTCTTTGATACGGATGTATCAAGGAGGGGGGTATGTTGGGAAGGCCGTCGTGGCCATGTGTTTTTTATGAAGTATTTACTATTTATTCAATATTTCTCTCAGGATGTGAAATATGAAATGTCTCAGAAATTCAGTTTATTTTGGAACGCAATTTCGCGTACATGTAGTGATTTAGCCTACAGGTAGTTCACGAGTTATTTCGTAGGTTGTTTGTTTCTTGCGTTGCACAGTGCAAGACAAGAATTTGCACAACTGCACAAGAGTATTGACGTTGACTCTCAAAATGATTCTTGGTCGCATTTTGTTTGTTTCTTCTAAGTTTTGACAAAGGGACATGTATTTTCGTTTTGTCTTTTCTCGCAGTGTTTCCTTTCATTTTCTAAGCCGCGACGCCGTCGCGTACTGCGGTACGACGGGTCACGTGCTGCCAACCTACTGCATTCTTTATTCACCAGTTTTCACGGCTACACTGCATGCATTGTATAATGACTCATGATTATTTTTTGCTCTGCGCTGAATCCCGTACTAGTGTAGTGTAGGGCTTTTTCAGAGTTTTGTTTTTTTCGATGAGGCTCGGCAAGTAATGAGTTCGGTTCTTCGAAAGGAAGAGAAAGAGTTGCCTTTTTGTTGTTTGCGAAATATCTATTTTACTACCACGAAGTGTTCCCGTTGCGTGTGAGAACCTGCATGACAGCATGAATAAAGTACACAAATGTCGGTTCAGCTAGTTTTATTGATTGCGGTTATAAAACAAAAAAATACCGGTATTTTACTACTCCCTGATTCATGCCTTTCGCATGGACTGTTTTCATGCGCGCATATGCATGCATAGAAATAAAAAAAATCGTCGGTGCGCCGCCAAAAATCGGTGCGCGCGTACTCGAGAATCAAAGATAATTTTTACCATGGCCTAATAGAACAGATCGCATCATGTAGACGTCGCCGGATAATGCTCGAAAATCCCACGGATTATGCTTTTGTATTGTATTGTATTGTATTGTATTGTATTTATTTAAAAGGATTCTCCAAAAGCAAATGGATGCTTATCACGGAAGTCTCCCACATAAATATCGCTTTTCAGTATGCTGGCAATATGCTCTGAAAATCACTAAATTATGCTTCTTGACACTGTGCTCTTTCATGTTTATAATGCCATTAAAATGTATAGAATGTGTACTCGGGATCAAATGTGGACTTCCGGAGAAAACTGCATGGAAGATCTAGTCTCAGCTATGGATAAGGAACCAGGATACAGCTACTTCTATACAAAGGTTTTGTCCGACCCGCCCTGGAACACGCCACCTCGGCCTGGTCCTATGCCATCACCAAAGCTGAGCTGGAGCGTTTAAATATTTTACAAGCCAGAGTAGCTAGGAAGTATTTGCTACGTAAAAAAGTCAATGTAGATAGATGCGAAACGAAATCCCAGTTAAACGCCCTTTGTGACTTAGAGTCCTTGCACTTTCGCAGACAAGTATCAGCTCCTGTTACTCCATTTAAACTTATACATATATCTCCAGAACGCATCCAACATTTTCACCTTTCATTGTCTTCAAGTCCAAGAAGACCAAACAAACTTAACATCAATTATCACAGGAGGCGTTTTTCTTTCCTCTTTTCCAACAAAGCTGCAATGCTATGGAATTGCCCACCGCCTTCTGTTACCTCTATAAACGGCCTCCCGGGATTCAAGCATTCTCTCTATGAGCATTTTCGCCGATATATTCATTACACTGACGGTATCCAAACTCCTTAATCACCAGATGTTGCATGCTTTGATCTATTTCCTTAGCCTATCCTCGATTAACTGCTCCCTCTACATAAAGTTGTCATTTCATTCTTCTTGCAGGAGATCCCCTCGACAGGCCCAAAGCCTTTGGGAAATCCTTAAAAAATATACCAAAATACAAATACATGCAGGCACTGGAACATCAATACATGTACAAGCATAATTATGTACAGAAATAATAGAACTCTGGACGGTGAACTTTTGACCTTTTGACGCCCTAAACATTAGACATCTGTTACATTTACAGTGTAGATCAGGCCCTTTCACGGAGCCGTGCCAGATATATACCGTGGTATGGTACGACTCCCTGCCGAGTCCCGGGTGCAGATCTATTTATAGGAGGATTCCCCTGCCTTTGTAACAAACAACGGACTCTGGACGGTGAACTTTTGACCTTTGAGGCCCTAGCGGTTTTATGCAGCAGTTATGCTGAAGGATCAACTAAGTTATGCTCGGCAATGCTATTTTTCAGAAAGCCGTGATTATGCTCAAAATTATGCCGGCATTATCCGCCGATGACTACAGTCCATTCATAAAAAAATGGGTCCTGGCTCTGGCGAGCTCCCGTATTTGGCGATTTTTCGTGATTTCATCGTACACAGTGCAGTGCTGCGAACTTTGAAATTTGAAAAGGGTCCAAAAAGGGTGCCTGAACTGGGGTTCGAACCGCAGAATGCACTGTTGCAGGCGGGGTCAAACGGCCTGGATTTTGATGGTTTTTCCCAATTCAGTGCTTTTGGGGCAAAACCTGGCCGAAATCCTATTCTTGCTATGGCTTGCTTTTTGGACAAAAAAACTTCAGAAACATAATTGGAAGAGGATTCCATATGGGATTGCAGAAAAAAATTCTAAAAAAACTCAACGTTTGACCCATTTATGGCCAAAAGCTAGAAGTTCATTTTTTTCTGAATGGACTGTAGTCGCATGTCTCCCAAATAATTATGGGTTCCACGCATCTGTCAACTGTTTCACCATGAAAATTGATTGCAATTTGCAGCAGGAAGAAAAGCATACGACAAAACCCATATACAGGTTCTAGCATAATTATGACAAGTACATGCCATTCTTTTTACACCGATGTACATTTGTCAAAGCGAAGAACAAATTGCTATAATATAGCAATTTGTATTTTTTTATATTATAATTTAGTACGGGAGATATGACAAGGGATTTTGCAGCGTCAACAGAGGGAACACAAGGAGTTCATAGGTGCACACACGCAGAGAGCAATACAATCATGACGGAGTGTGTGGACAGGCAAAGACAGAGCATTCATTCCAAGGTGTAGCGTAGGGCCTAGGGCCTAGGGGCGGGGATGGAAGCTGAGCAGCCTTGATCTCCCTGAGGCCGCGGTCACCATGGTCACACATGAAAAGCTTGCACCGCTTTTGCGGAGGCGAAAAGCGGAACTACCGCAGCCGCTTTGGCGGACCACACGATGCAACGGTCACACATACATGTAATGGAGACTACTGTGCTCCTCAACGCTCCGCTTTGGCGGAGAGAATGCAAATCTGTCCCCGGGGAAAATTGCGGAAAAAATCGCAAAAAAACGCGGGGAAAAACGTGGCATAATATGGCATAATTTGCGGTGAATTTGCGGTAAATATGCGGTAAATATGCGGTGAATAATATTGATGTGCGGCAATTTTCAGTGAGTGTGTAGTGAAATCAATCAGTTACAAGTCTCTGGTGTAAGCACTCGTCATATTTGAGTAAAAAGCCGCCACGATGAGACGTTGCTGACCGAACAGTGCACTGTGTGTACGTGTAGTGCAACAAAAAAAGTTCAAAAAACGCGGGAAAATCGCGGAAAACGCGGTCTTTTAAAAAATCGCAAAAAACGCGGAAAAAAACGCGGCCGCGGAATCGCAATTTTCCCCGGGGACAGGCAAATGCAGCACGTCAGATGTTCTTGTCCGAGTTGAAGCGACCTTCGCTTGTACAAGTAGATGTATCGTGGATCGCTGGCAGGCTGCTGAATGTCTCCTGTCAAGTACACTCGTGGATTTGGGGCGCATTCACTGCGGCCCAGTACAGGTGTATTTGAATATTACTAGTTTGGTTTACATCAATATCAAATTCGAATAGTTGTATAGCACTGCAGGGTGTCGTTGCCTCCTTCTTGTCCGAGTTGAAGTGACCTTCGCTTGTACAAGTAGAGCTATCGTGGATCGCTGACAGGCTGCTGAATGTCTCCTGTCAAGTACACTCGTGGATTTGGGGCACATTCACTGCGGCCCAGTACAGGTGTACTAGTATTTGAATATTAGGCCACCCTTTGTTAATTCATTGTTTAACGTCCTTTTTTTCGCGAAAAGGTACGCGGGAGGGCGGAAAAAAAACAAAAGCCCATTCCAAAAACTGGAAACCCCAATCAAACATTTTGACCAGCAAAGCATGCGATATATACAATATTTCTGGGTCTAGCGGCACTTGCAGGCATGAACAACACTCTTTGATGGTACATTGGAGCACATGCCTGATGAATCCAACAAAACAGGTACATAGCATGGAGTTAGCATGTCATGAATTCATTACATCTGGATTTTTACTAGGGCACACACCGTACGATATTTAAAAGCCAACAAAAAAAAGAAAAAGAACACAAGACCAAGGCATGCCCGGGAGGCAAGATTATAAGTTTAAGGTCATGATCGGCACACTGTGAAACTACACAATCATGTATTTACAACTTCGCATATTATTGGCCGTACTACTACTTTCTTGTTTTTTTTTTCAGGTCGGAGGCAAAAAGGTACGCGGGCGCGGACGTTAAACAACGAAAAAAGAAAGGGTGGCCTTAGTTTGGTTTACATCAATATCAAATTCAAATAGTTTTATAGCAGGGTGTCGTTGCCTCCTCCATGATCCATCATCGACCCCAGCGACTGTGTGGATGCCTGGCAGTGAGGGTGTGGCAGAGTACTCTACTACTCCCTGGTTGCAGTCCTAGTGTTGCATACTCTGGTGGACGCCTTGCTAGGAGAGAGAAGGAGAGAGTTGGAGATCGTCTGCGATCGGGGCCAATGAGTTGGGAGACGGATTCCCTCACCAACTATCCACTCATAACGATGCAGTATCGTTTGCGAGATCTCCAGAACGTACAGTACATAGGCAAAGAAGATCAATATGAAAACTGAATACCAAGCGGCGATCAAACAACACCAGAACTCAGCGCAGAAGTAGCACACCAAACTCCAAAGCCATCACCACGCAGGTTCCGCCAAAGCGGATCCGCGATAGCGGAGGTTCCGCTCGCATTTATTTTGGCGTAGAGCGAAATCCAAACTTTCCGCCAAAAAAAGACGGTGCATGTGTGACCGCACACTCGTACTCCTTGGGAGTGCATTCCATGCCAACGCTGTCTAGTGAAAGGCCAGGCGAGATCTGCCGACTTCTGTCTGATTGTGCCGAGGGGACAGTGAGGCCCCTGGAAACCTGGTGACGGGTGGTGCTACCATCTGTTCGATGTTTGCGACTTTAAAATGAGGCAATGACAAGTGTCATTATTGCGATGACAAGCAGAGAAGCGGATCAGCACTGCATGCAGCAGTAGTCTAGGCTGCGTATGACTAAGAATTTAGAAATGACAGATCTGGATCCAGGACGCCAGGATTCCGGGACAGTACCAGTAATACTGAGTGATAACTACCAAGGCTGGATAGAGCCTACCCCGCCACCTGGGCACCCTGATTTTCGATAGCTGACATATGCCCAGATATATATTTGGGCGCATCTCGTGATGTCTCACGATAAGCTACATCATCAGTACATGGGGAGGGATCCCGAAACTTGGAGACGTGATCACGCGTGTTGACTGTTGTGTCATCATCGCCATCAGACTATATCTCTGCTGCAGTTGTTTGAACAGATATGAGGCACGAGCTAGTGGGTGTGCGCTAGCGCTGTCTCGGATCTCGCAGAGTTCGTTTGGATTTGCTTCAAGTAACGTTAGTTCACGTTAGAGCACGTTCCTCCACACGAAGAATGCACGAAAATAATGACAGCTACAATGTGCAGTAGTGCTGATATGAAAAGTCCATTTCATTCTGACTCTCAGTAGCTGGAGCGGCTAGAAAGTAGAATGAAGTACCGGCATGTCCCAGTCCCAGCCTCATATACATAGTGAGCTGATCAAAGGGGGGTTCACACCTCACCGACTGTCCGTTGGTTCAAGAAAGACTGTTCGTTGAACTAATACTTCGTTCATCCTTGCATTCTCCATTGGATGGTTATGGCGACACTCAGCTGTTGGTTGAGAGTACCGCTAAACTGCTTTTTCCTGTCCTAGAGGCCTTTCAAAACTAACACGATAATCCGAGAAGATATCTAGTACCGCGCAGTCATCGCTGGGAAGAGGTGCACCACTTCTCACTGCCTTCTGCCGGAATGACCGCTAAGCCCATGGCGGCCACCCAGCGTTGTGTTGCAGCGCTATGGCTGCTGTTCCTATGTACAGCGGTAAACCGGGTGGCGTCACAGAGTATTGTGAGCTTGGCTGGAGGATCACCAGAGGCAAAAAAAGATAGCTTTTACCTAGTGGACGGCAAACTAACGCAACAGATCATCGACGACGACAAGGGATTGCAGAATATTAGCGCAAGCCTTTCTCGACTGCAGGTGATGTTCAACGACAGAATCATCGGTAAGATGGCCGCGCTGTGGACTTATAGTTATCATCCATGCACAAAGCCGCACTCGTCTTGTCTGTTGTGTTACGGATAAAGCTGATCTTCTGTCCTCTTTCACTCGTGGGGAAAGGGTGGGAAGAAGTGTACCCTTCTGTTTTTGTATGGCTGCTGAGGTACGACCGAGCGCAAATTGATTGATTTTATTTTACTTCGCAAGTTCAAACGGGTTCCTGGCCCAGTTATATGAAAGCGAAGGATAGAATTTGCCAAAATCCTAATGAGCAACAGCATAGGCAATATTATCATAGAAGTGGAGTACTATGCGAGCGAGAATACTGAGAAGAAAGGGTCAAAACCTGACGAAACACAACCTATTCCAAGCATACATAAGGAAGGCAGGCTAGCTTAAAATCTTGCAATCTGGATACGGTGCGCACCTCTCTAGGAAAACTGTTCCTCAGCAATGCTCCTGCGGTGGCGAATCTCGTTTGGCCACACCGACTGCGAGCTGGCTGGCTGAGTATGCCATTGGCATGCTGATGGCACGTACTTCTGCCGCTGATGAATGTAATCGGTTAGTATATCGATCACTGTCTGTAAGGTCGCGCTTCTAATACTCTATGTTGGTGCGCAATGGCGCCGAATTGTCACCGATAGTGCAGTGGAAAGGATTGCCCTGCCAATCCGAATACCGCGTCATCCAGACCCATCCAGAGCCGGTCGGGTGCTGTGGTGTGCATGTCTCACTTCGCTCTTGCTGATAAAATTGTCACATTTCCGGTAGGAGGAGAACGTTCATGCAGGAAACTGGCATTGGAAGCGTCATCCATTGCGTACTCAGAGCATATCTTCTTCGGGACCTCTTTGTACTTCGCTCTTCAGCAGCTAACACTTTGCAATGTTGGACCCGCCTTCACTCCTCCAATGGTCTTATTTTACCCCGAGTTTATTCACGCTACGGTCTGTTTTCTCTCTCTTATTTGGCTGCAGACAGATGGAATAGTGCTCCATCTGATATCCGCACTGCTGCATCGCCATCCCTATTTCGCCATGCATTACTTTCATTCTTAGGGTACCCCGTAAGAAGACCTTGAGTCTGTGGGGACTGCCCTATTAGAATATTAATATATTTGTGTTTCTGATTTGTTTGCAATCACTGCTTATCCATGCCGGTTCCTTTTTCTTCTCCTCCCCTTCTCCCTGCCTTGCCGTGGTTGGCTAACACCCTCTCTCTTTGTATTGGCCGGTGTTCTCACTGTGCTATGAGATGCTGTAATAAATAAATAAATATATAAAAATAAATTATGAAGTCTGAAGAAAATGTTGAACGGCCTCTGCTGGGATGACGACTACACCATAGCTCAGTGGTTAGAGCATCGCTGGCTACAAGCGAGGGTCCCTGGTTCGAGTCCTGGTGGTGACAGTCAATTTTTTCTTCAGACTTTTCCCGTTTGTCTCTTTCCCTCAAACCAGTAAATATTATAATAATAATAATAATAATTCTGACTTGTAAGAAAGGGTTTGCTCCCCACACCGGAGCTCGCGCTATTCCGCCGACTTTACTTGACACTTGACTGACTCACGACTGCCATCCAGAGCACACGAGAAGTCCATCGAACCTTCGACTCGGCAAACCTGCAAGAAAGCACCACTCCCTGCTCAATACACAGTGTTTCGGGGAATTCACCCCTCATCAGTTGAGCTTGAGTAGGCTGAGGAAGATTGTGTGATTGTGTCAAGTAAAGTCGGCGGAATAGCGCGAGCTCCGGTGTGGGGAGCAAACCCTTTCTTACAAATCATCGCCGAAGTCGCAACCACTAATTCGTAATAATTCTGACTGTATATAGTATCTAGTTACAGTGGTGGAGAGTTACTCTCAACTCGTTTCCATATGTCCTTTTTCTTTTCCACATTTATTATTAGCTCAATACCCGAGTTTCGAATAATAATAATAATAATAATAATAATATTGACTGGTAGAAAGGAAAAGGACATAATTATGGAAACGAGTTAAGAGTAACTCTCCACCACTGTAACTAGATACTATATACAGTCAGAATTATTACGAATTAGTGGTTGCGACTTCGGCGATGATTTGTAAGAAAGGGTTTGCTCCCCACACCGGAGCTCGCGCTATTCCGCCGACTTTACTTGACACTTGACACAATAATTATGTCCTTTTCCTTTCTACCTTTATTATTGGCTCAATACCCGAGTTTCAAATATTGACTGGTTTGAGGGAAAGAGACAAACGGGAAAAGTCTGAAGAAAACATTGACTGTCACCACCAGGACTCGAACCAGGGACCCTCGCTTGTAGCCAGCGATGCTCTAACCACTGAGCTATGGTGTAGTCGTCATCAATAAAAATAATAATAATAATAATTTTAATATGGCAATAAGTAGGACGAGCTGAAGCGACATGTGGACTACTTTATTAACAATGTAAGCGATGGAGACGATGCAAGAAACAACCTAAAGGGTAAGGAAAAATACATGTAAGAATAAAAAGTCCTACTTATTGCCATATTAAAATTATTGTCTCCTCGTCGAATTTTTAAATAATAATAATAATAATTTAGTAACGAAGGTACGTGTTGGGTCGTAAGTATCCACGCAAACACACATCCAGTCAAAATAAGGCACTTGTCAAAGTATCCGAACGTTTTCGGTCCCTTCTCATCAAGGATTATACAGGGAATGGCTCAAGTTGGAAAGACTAAAACTTATATAGCGTAAAGATATGAGATAACAACACTCGTGACAAGGTGGAAAAAGTATCAAGTTCAGCACGACACAAAACTCGAAGGAAATAATAATAGCGACAAGAACATAGTGAGCAAATTAAGTTACATTGTTAACACCTCGACGAGGAGTAACACCAAACAATTGTAGCGACAACACATTTTCTTTCTGTACGCAAAGTTCAGGATCTAACTTACGGATATACAAAGCTTCTAACACAGCCAGATGCAACGCACATCTACCACGTGACAATATTGAGAACACATTATCACTGTACAACTCACGACAATTGGTACGGGCTGACAGATGTTGCTTAATGGACGAAGTGCGATTCCTAGCTCCGTTGGGTGTAGTCTCCTCCAATGTCCCGTCATCTCGCCTCTTCGCGGCATCACCACTATCCGCCTCTTTGCTTTTCCGCGGCCTTCCACGTTTTCTGACACCAGCCGTTGTGTGCGCGATGCCCAGTGTCCTTTCAGCTACGTCTCCTCCATTGCGGATTTCTATTGATCTTCTTACTCCAACTTGTCCGGTGCTCGATATTGAGGTTCGTTTTCGCGGTCTACCACGTTTTCGAATATTGACTGTTGTTGTCACTTCCGTTGTCGTTGTACGTGCGTCCTCACCAGTCCGTATTTTTACTTGGCTTCGCGTAACCCTTCCCGACGCAGACAGATCCTTTGTCAATTTCGGTGGTTTACGTGTCGGTCTTTCACCATCTTTCACGCTGTTCTCAGCTGGACCCTGCGCTATACACGCGGAGGAGGACGGGCATGCAGTGATATCTTCACAGGAAGAGGAAGATCCACCGATGGACTGGACAGTGTAGGAGACTACACCCAACGGAGCTAGGAATCGCACTTCGTCCATTAAGCAACATCTGTCAGCCCGTACCAATTGTCGTGAGTTGTACAGTGATAATGTGTTCTCAATATTGTCACGTGGTAGATGTGCGTTGCATCTGGCTGTGTTAGAAGCTTTGTATATCCGTAAGTTAGATCCTGAACTTTGCGTACAGAAAGAAAATGTGTTGTCGCTACAATTGTTTGGTGTTACTCCTCGTCGAGGTGTTAACAATGTAACTTAATTTGCTCACTATGTTCTTGTCGCTATTATTATTTCCTTCGAGTTTTGTGTCGTGCTGAACTTGATACTTTTTCCACCTTGTCACGAGTGTTGTTATCTCATATCTTTACGCTATATAAGTTTTAGTCTTTCCAACTTGAGCCATTCCCTGTATAATCCTTGATGAGAAGGGACCGAAAACGTTCGGATACTTTGACAAGTGCCTTATTTTGACTGGATGTGTGTTTGCGTGGATACTTACGACCCAACACGTACCTTCGTTACTAAAGTATTATCCGCCTCCGACTTCTTGTAAAATAATAATAATAATAATAATAATGTAGAAAGGAAAAGGACATATGGAAACGAGTTAAGAGTAACTCTCCACCACTGTAACTAGATACTATATACAGTCAAAAAGTGCAACAACTAGGCACAAAACTGACAGAGTACTGAGACATTCGACGTCACGAACCATACGGTGAAACGTACGTCGTGTGAAACAACTTGTTTTGTAGTCAACTAGTCCATCACAATGTCATGCATGAGGAGTACTGTAGGAGTTTAGATGTCGGCTTGTACAATTCGTTCTCGCAAAGCTTCCCCCTTCTTAACGTATCTTTGATATTTTTGACCCACCCAAGTTGGGTGGTGTGCTGCTTTGCTGCTTCGAATTGTAGTTAGACCGCTTTGTCAAATCGCCTACTGGTCTCGTCATCGTCCAGTGACAATCGACATTCTTTGTTCCGTTGGGACTGTAGCTTGTGCTCGTTTTCGTTGAGCTTACCTTCCCCTCTTTGGTCTTTCCATAACCTTGAACCTTCCAAGTTGGAAGGCTGTCGGTTAGCGCTACGGAGATGTGTTGAAGCTAGGTGTCAGGACGTCGAATGTCTCAGTACTCTGTCAGTTTTGTGCCTAGTTGTTGCACTTTTTGACTGTATATAGTATCTAGTTACAGTGGTGGAGAGTTACTCTTAACTCGTTTCCATATGTCCTTTTCCTTTCTACATTTGTTATTGGCTCAATACCCGAGTTTCAAATTGCACACCTGATGAGCCGTCACGAACCATACGGTGAAACGTACGTCGTGTGAAACAACTTGTTTTGTAGTCAACTAGTCCATCACAATGTCATGCATGAGGAGTACTGTAGGAGTTTAGATGTCGGCTTGTACAATTCGTTCTCGCAAAGCTTCCCCCTTCTTAACGTATCTTTGATATTTTTGACCCACCCAAGTTGGGTGGTGTGCTGCTTTGCTGCTTCGAATTGTAGTTAGACCGCTTTGTCAAATCGCCTACTGGTCTCGTCATCGTCCAGTGACAATCGACATTCTTTGTTCCGTTGGGACTGTAGCTTGTGCTCGTTTTCGTTGAGCTTACCTTCCCCTCTTTGGTCTTTCCATAACCTTGAACCTTCCAAGTTGGAAGGCTGTCGGTTAGCGCTACGGAGATGTGTTGAAGCTAGGTGTCAGGACGTCGAATGTCTCAGTACTCTGTCAGTTTTGTGCCTAGTTGTTGCACTTTTTGACTGTATATAGTATCTAGTTACAGTGGTGGAGAAATACTCTTAACTCGTTTCCATATGTCCTTTTCCTTTCTACATTTGTTATTGGCTCAATACCCGAGTTTCAAATAATAATAATGCAATGAATATAACTAAATGCGCACTCATATCACAACCATGGGGACGAATCATGTATTCCAGAACGTTTTCTTGTCACAATTATCAATGGAATTCGTGACTAAAGAGAATGATGAAACTACAATAGGATTTATACACTTGGAGTGGAACAGCGAGGATACAAGCATAGTAAGAAAAATAGCACAAACCTAGGAACAATTTGCACAGGTAATAAACTATAGGTGAGGTGAGATATGATAGGAAATTCAGCAAGTTTTTCTTACTATGCTTGTATCCTCGCTGTTCCACTCCAAGTGTACCAAGTATATATCCTATTGTAGTTTCATCATTCTCTTTAGTCACGGATTCCATTGATAATTGTGACAAGAAAACGTTCTGGAATACATGATTCGTCCCCATGGTTGTGATATGAGTGCGCATTTAGTTATATTCATTGCATTATTAAGATTATTGTCTCCACGTCGCCTTTTTAAATAATAATAATAATAATAATACAAATAACCTACGTGGAGATAATAATTTTAATATAGCTATGAACAGGATGAAGGCCGCAGACATCACGCAACTACGTTACTTGTTTGACATGTATTACTGTGTATTTTATAACAAAAATATTATTGAAAACCCAGAATCGATTTTCTCGTTCCTATCATCAGTGGAAAAAAACGGAACTAAGGATACAACCAAAGAAACTGAAGTTAAGTACTGTAAATAGAAAGGTTTGAAACTCGGGTATTGAGCCAATAATAAAAGTAGAAAGGAAAAGGACATATGGAAACGAGCTATGAGTAACTATCCACCACTGTAACTAGATACTATATACAGTCAGAAAGTGCAAGTTGTTGCACTTTCTGACTGTATATAGTATCTAGTTACAGTGGTGGATAGTTACTCATAACTCGTTTCCATATGTCCTTTTCCTTTCTACTTTTAAATAGAAAGGTGTTAAAAATAACATCAAGATACAAGTGCAATAAAACCACTAGAGGAAACGCAAAAAAGGTAACAAGATTACATATAACCAAAGGCGAGAAGGCACTGAACGAAGTGTCAACCTACGAATACAACTTCAGTGCAACAACGTGCTCTTTCTGCTTACACAAAACAGGCTTATGAATACGTATACAAACTGCCTCAAGGACTTTCAACTGTTGGACATAACGCGCACGACTCAGAAAAGAAAAATGAGAGTCATCATATACACCAAGACAGTCAGGACGAGATAACAAGTGTAGATACACAGCCGACGTCTTACGATCAACACATTCATCCGCCTCATCTCGCTCCTTCCCACCCGACTCCTCCTCGTCCATCTCATCCATCTCCACCAGCGGAGGTGGATGTGGCTTTGGCGACGCCACGTGTGTTGCATGCAGACACGTTTGCGTCATCATCGCTTGCTGCATCACCGGCAGAGACGACAACAATACCTACCTCAATATCAACGAGACCCAGAAGAACAACTGCGAATTACGCCATGACCTATTTCAGTACGGAAGTACAGAGCCAACGGAATGCACAACAGGAGCGTGAGACAAGGGATGGGAGGAGACGGGACCTGATTGCTCCAAGGCAGGACGTCGTTGAGGAGGATTCGGCCAGTGAGTCCAGTGATTATGACTCTTTCACTTACTTTGATTCCATAGAAGACAGCGAAGTCTTTCTTGGTGCTCTCAACAGCCTTCACCCTTCCCTCCGCTTCACATGTGAGCACGAGCAGTCCAGCAAGTTATCCTTCCTCGACGTACTTGTTGAGAAAACCGAATTTGGTAGCGTAACATCGGTGTATCGTAAACCGACATTCACCGGACAACACAATAATAATAATAATAATAATATTTCCCGGTGGATCTGGCTTATCGCCTTCGAAAGAAGTGAATAAAGGAGACATAATAATGTAGAAAGGAAAAGGACATAAGGATACGAGTTAAGAGTAACTCTCCATCACTGTAACTGCATACAGTCAGAAAGTGCAATAACTAGGCACAAAACTGACAAGAGTACTGAGACATTCGACGTCCTGACACCTAGCTTCAACACATCTCCGTAGCGCTAACCGACAGCCTTCCAACTTGGAAGGTTCAAGGTTATGGAAAGACCAAAGAGGTGTCAGGACGTCGAATGTCTCAGTACTCTTGTCAGTTTTGTGCCTAGTTATTGCACTTTCTGACTGTATATAGTATCCAGTTACAGTGATGGAGAGTTACTCTTAACTCGTATCCTTATGTCCTTTTCCTTTCTACATTTATTTATGGCTCAACATCCGAGTTTCAAAATAATAATAATAATATCTCCGTAAAGCATGGTAAATCCTCCCCAGTCACTGAGTCAGGTCATGGAAAGGTTGCTCTGCTTTGTGTATAGCCTCAAGGGACTGGTGTTCTAGGGACCAGTCATTTTCCTACACAGATACTCACATTGCATGTTCGGCCATTCTCAGACCCATCTCGTGTAACCGTGGCAATTGCGTGAGAATTTGCTCGACACAAAAGGCATACAACTTTTATAAAGACGTGCAACTGCTCGCTTCTTGTGCTGTGTGACAGGCTATACAGAAGATACGTGTGTTGAAGCGGCCACTCCACAGCAAAGCCAGACTGGTCCAACAAAGATTACCTTCGAGGAGGTCTCCACTCAGCTTGGGATTACAGTGCAGCATCGCACACAGAAGCCAGTGCGGCCGTACTGTCTCTTTCACTACGAGGTCACTAACCGCAACAACTCTGGTGTTTCCCGACTGGATGGGGAGTTCTGTGTCCCGGAGCATATCACAGGGGCGGCTGCAGCCGCTGATTACGACCGTGACGGCCTTGTCGACTTGTTCTTCACCAACGCCGAGGGTCCCAGTGTGCTATACCGTAATACTGGTATGTTATCATTGCTATCATTGCTATCATTGTGTTATCATTGAGTTGGACCTGGCCACACTGGTACAGTTAGCCACTCACTTTGTCTAGTTCTGTACACTGACAACGGGCGGTAACTTGCCGGTAAGCTGCTGGGAAAGTGCTGAATGCGCGAGGTGCAGAGCTTTTTTGTGCGTTTTGTTTGCCCATAAAAGAGGTTTCTTTTAGGTTTTTACGAGTACACAGAGGAGAGAAGAGGCCCTGCTGGAATCTACTTCTGAATCTCAGTTTGACCAGAGTTGAGAGCACACAGAGGAGAGAAGAGGCCCTGCTGGAATCTACTTCTGAATCTCAGTTTGACCAGAGTTGAGAGTACACAGAGGAGTGAAGAGGCCCTGCTGGAATCTACTTCTGAATCTCAGTTTGACCAGAGTTGAGAGTACACAGAGGAGAGAAGAGTCCCTGCTGGAATCTACTTCTGAATCTCAGTTTGACCAGAGTTGAGAGTACACAAAGGAGAGAAGAGGCCCTGCTAGAATCTACTTCTGAATCTCAGTTAGACCAGATTTGAGAGTACACAGAGAAGAGAAGAGGCCCTGCTGGAAACTACTTGTGAATCTCAGTTTGACCAGAGTTGAGTGGTCTGAGGGTTGCTTGAACATGAAACTCTGAGTCACAAGTAAATTTTAACTGGACGACAGTCTTCTCTGCTATGTGCGCTTGCAGACTAGATGTGCATGCAGGCCATGCAGTCCATACTGTTCATATCGCATGCATGGCAACACGTCCACTGAACGATCCGTGTCACACTTGTCAATGGAATCTTGTCACGGAAGGGAATGATGAAACAAGAATCGGATGTACACACTTCCCTATCTTCCCTCCATTTGTATAAATCCTATTGTTGTTTCATCATTCCCTTTCGTCACAAGAGGCCATTGAAAACGTTCTGGACCTCAGCGTTCATCGCTATGATTGTATTATGAGCAGGCACATAGTTTTATATATTGCTTTATCTGACAATGTCTCAGTCTTTATTGAAAGTTGAGCTCTTTGCTCATACATGAAAATGCATGTGCATGTGTATGTATGTGTGTTGCGAGCATCCATGCGTGCATACATGTATATATGTACGCGTGCGTGCATGCTCGGGTATGCTTGTGCGGATGCAGGTAGTGGATTTGAGGACGTGACAAGCCGCGTCGGCCTTGGTCCTTCCAAGCATGGCAGCGGTGCAGCATGGCTTGACATTGACAGTGACGGCGATCTGGACTTGTACGTCACCACGGTTGGCCACACAAGACATTATCTATACGTCAACAAGGTACATTCTTTTTACAATATCCCTGGCTTTGAATTTGCTTCCTCAGCTGTGGCACCTTCCTACAGTTTCACTATACATTTACACCTGGGGTATCCGGACTGAAGTTACGGGCACTTCGGTCTACCGTGCACCCTTTGGGTGAGTTTCCGTGGAAATACTACCACACTTTTGTCGCTGTTTGTGGCAACAGTGATGTCATATGGCGTATCTAAGACCTTTCCCAATGAAAATGTATGTGATTGGGAGTTAGGGACATTTCAAAGTTACGGACAGTGCCTGGTCCCGGACTGCCTGGATAAACCAGGTATGAGTGTACCTGGTTCCAACATTGCCTGCTTTACTGTAGCAACATTGCCTGCTTTACTGTAGCAACATTACCTGCTTTACTGTAGCAACATTGCCTGCTTTACTGTAGCAACATTGCTTGCTTTACTGTAGCAACATTGCTTGCTTTACTGTAGCAACATTGCTTGCTTTACTGTACCAACATTGCTTGCTTTACTGTAGCAACATTGCCTGCTTTACTGTAGCAACATTGCCTGCTTTACTGTAGCAACATTGCCTGCTTTACTGTAGCAACATTGCTTGCTTTACTGTAGCAACATTGCCTGCTTTACTGTAGCAACATTGCCTGCTTTACTGTAGCAACATTGCCTGCTTTACTGTAGCAACATTGCCTGCTTTACTGTAGCAACATTGCCTGCTTTACTGTAGCAACATTGCCTGCTTTACTGTAGCAACATTGCCTGCTTTACTGTAGCAACATTGCTTGCTTTACTGTAGCAACATTGCTTGCTTTACTGTACCAACATTGCTTGCTTTACTGTAGCAACATTGCTTGCTTTACTGTAGCAACATTGCCTGCTTTACTGTAGCAACATTGCCTGCTTTACTGTACCAACATTGCCTGCTTTACTGTAGCAACATAAGCATGCTCTGCTAACGACTTTTCATCCAACGAAATGTTCCTTATCTCAACATACCTAACCATGTTGACTTGTTCGCTCATCCAATGAGCTTGAATCTCCCTTGCCCTCTCTCTTTCTCTCTCTCTCCCTCTCTCTCTCTCTCCCCCCCCCCTCTCTCTCTCTCTCTCTCTCTCTTTCTCTCTCTCTTTCTCTCTCTCTCTCTTTCTCTCTCCCTCGCTCTCTCTCTCTCTCTCTCTCTCTCTCTCCCGCTCTCGCTCTCTCTCTCTCTCTCTCTCTCTCTCTCTCTCTCTCTCTCTCTCTCTCTCTCTCTCTCTCTCTCTCTCTCTCTCTCTCTCTCTCTCTCTCTCTCTCTCTCTCTCTCTCTCTCTCTCTTTGTGCGTGCAGGGTGGTGTGTTCTTGGAAGAGGCAGTGCTCAGGAACATCGACTTGGCAGAGCAGGATGGGCGAAAGCTCAGCGGCATGACACCCAACGTTGGAGACTACGATCGAGACGGCTACCCTGATGTCTATGTTTCTGAGTGGTCTCTACCATACCTTGGAAAGGTACGTGCTAATCTCACACACTGAACTATACAAACATGTATTACGCACTGGCATAGTTGTGTGAAGCAAACACGTACTAATAATATTACATTGGTACCCTCCCTCCCTCCCCCCCCCCCCCCCCCCCCCCGAACAACAGATCTAGAGAAGAGGAGAGGGGAGGAGGAGTGGGGGGGGGGGGTGAAGTGTCCACGGGGTGAAGTGTCCACGGGGGGGTGAAGTGTCCATGCTCTTGCGAGAACTGAGCCTGAGGAAAGACCGTTCACCCCCTCCCCTCCTCCCCCCCCCCCCCCACACACACACGCACACACGCACACACACACACACACACACACAAATACCTCTCTAGAATGATAACTACTGTCTGAATATGCTGATATGCACTTACACATCCACTGACAGTTATAGAATTGCATGGCATTAAGGATAGTTGGGAGAGGGGAGTACGTGTTGGTATGGATTGTGTTTTTGACTATCGGAATTTCACTGATTCTTCTAAACTAGATATTATAGGTACAAGTAAGTTAGTAGTTAGCAGTGTGCTTAGTTTGCTGTGTGCTTAGTTTGCCGTCACGTAGAGAATTGCAAAATTGCACTTTTCAAGTGGACAGTGAAGAAGTCCTTGCGTACTGTTGCAATATGTTCTTTGCCAGTATCGTATGTCCTGATTGTGTGTGTGTCAGTATCGTATGTTATGATTGTGTGTTTGTCAATATCGTATGTTCTGATTGTGTGTCTGTGCTGCTGGTGCGTAGGTGTCGGCAAGTCGCCTCATGCATAACAAGGGAAGAACTGCACCTGGGTAAGACACTAATATGTGTAACAACACCCTCTCGCGGTTACTTGTCACACATGTGTTAGGACTAGGTTTGCACATAGGCACAGCAGAAGTCGAATCGACAAGGTTCGAATTGGACTCGGGATGATCAGAGATTGAGAGTGAGAAAGTTGAAGGAAACGAGGTTATGCAGGGCCTAGGTAGCTATGGCAATGAATGAACGAGAGCGCGAATGTATATTAGTAGCTACCCACGCCACACGAATTATACGAGAATGCGGGAGAGTGCGGGAGCAAGAAGTTGTAGCGTATTCGAGAAGCGGGAATGGGAAAAGGGTGCATGCAGTAGTGTGTATGAGTGCGTGTGTACATGCATATATGGGGGAGAGGTCATTGGTGTGTGAGTGTGTGCATACATGGAATCATGCACCTAACACATGATTTGTATCAGTGCCGTCAAGCGTTACAGGCCTGATTTGGACTCCAGCACCATCAACTGTTCAGTTTCCCTGTTGTCATTTTTTTGATCCAATTCGTGTATGAAATGGTATGATGCGGTGGCAAGGGGATAACGAAGAGATCGCTAGGGACATGGTGAAGTGGTCGGTGACGCACGGCAGGGGGTGGGGTGGGGCGTGACAAAATGGATGGCAGTGGTGTTGATGGTGGACCTGGTAGTAGTGGTGGTGGTGGTGGACCTGGTAGTAGTGGTGGTGGTGGGGGGGGGGGGAGGTAATGAGGGTCACGGTGATCAATTTCTATGCATGCACATGTACATGTATTTGCCCTGTGTTGTTTTTGTGTGATATGTTTTAACCCAGGACGTTTGAAGACGTGACCACACAGTCTGGTGTTACAATGCCCTCAACTTACATGTTCTGTTCATCATTCACAGTGAGTACACCATTTTGTTGTCAAGATTACATGTATTACTAGTAAATTGCGACGAATATGTTCCGTTTTGAGAGCAGGCAAATGCTGCAGACACACTTCACAATTTTCAGTGCTGTAGAGATGCGTGATGTCCACCACTCTCTTAGCGCGGGGATTCTGAATCTAAAAATTCTATGATTTCTTACTGCAGTGAGGTCATCCACTGCAATCAATTTTCTTTTCTAGTTGACACTAAGGGCATGTTCGATTGGTTGGATCCGGATCCAGATCGATTCACTGGATCCTCTGGATCCACCAAGGTCCAATCAAACGCTGCCCTTGATCAAATCTGGAATTTTAGTGATTTTTTAGGGTTTCCATGAGAGAAAGCACCGATTTCCGCATCGTCACTTCTGTCCCCGCCCATTTGTACACATATCACGTACAGAGTACGATTTTGGAAAAAAAAGAATCCGGTGGATCCGGTCAACCCTGCTCCCGGAGTAGGGTTGATCGGATCCCAATTTTCTTTGAAACGAATGTGCACATATCGAGAGATCCAGATCCAACCAATCGAACATGCCCTAAAACTCCGGTTCACGTTTGCGAAACTGCAGTTTTCCTATACACGGTGTGCATATACATCTGTGTGTTGGTGTGTGTGTGTGTGTGTGTGTGTGTGTGTGTGTGTGTGTGTGTGTCTGTCTGTCTGTCTGTCTATCTGTCTGTCTGTCTGTCTGTCGGTGTATCTGTTTGTCTTTCTGTCTCTCTTTCTTTCTGTATGTCTATCTGTATGTCTATCTGTCTGTCTGTCTGTCTGTATGTATGTATGTGTGTATGTGTGTGTGTGTGTGTGTGTGTGTGTGTGTGTGTGTGTGTGTGTGTGTGTGTGTGTGTGTGTGCGCGCGCGCGCGCGTGTGCATGCTTGCAGGACATGGACAATGATGGATGGGGAGATATCATCATAACCGCTGACTACGGAGACTCCAAGATCTTCTGGAATAACAAGAATGGCACCTTCAAAGAGTGTACTGCTGCATGTGGTGTCACAGTGCGGGCTGTAAGTCACACAAATGGAGCGTGCACACACGTGTGTGTGTGTGTGTGTGTGTGTGTGTGTGTGTGTGTGTGTGTGTGTGTGTGTGTGTGGTTGTAGGGGGGGGGGGGGTGCTGTGTTCCAGTATAAGCTGACGGGTAACACACACACACACCTTGACCTTGACATTGCCCATTGCGTAGCAATGATAGTGCATTTCCATTTCTCCAGTCCACAACAATGACCGATGGTGTTTCAGATTGCCGCTTCGATGGAACATGCAGCCGCAGGCACATCTTTAGCTAGCAGCAGAGGTTGCCTTGGGTGGTCGGCGGGCAATGGTACGCAATAGACACACACCACACACACACACACACACACACACACACACACACACACACACACACACACACACACACGCACGCGCACACACACACACACACCTGTCCTGTCCTGTCCTGTAGAGCCACTGCCACAGGGGTCACGTGGGCCCCGGAGGGGCATCAGAGAGGAAGATGGAGCACGCAGCCTGATGACGCCGGAGATGGTGGAGCAAACGGAACCGGCGAGAACACACGCATACACGACTGAACGAATTACGCTGCTGGGCAGTCGGGCGCGGGCCAGTCCTCGAGCACCGGTGACGACCGCGGCCTTGCACAGTGCGAAAGCAGCACACACACACACACACACTACACCATGTCTATGACGCAAGCCCCATTACCATGTGGACATTGATACCAGAGATCTAGAACACTACCTGTCAGAGCGATGCTCCGAATAGAGCCACCTAGAACTATTAATACGCTAACTGGAGTATATGCAGGGCCGCTGGAAGCAGTTTGTCATTGGTCTGACAGTAACATAGCCTTTCATACTATGGTCTGACAGTAACATAGCCTTTCATACTAAGGTCTGGCAGTAACATAGCCTTTCATACTAAGGTCTGACAGTAACATAGCCTTTCATACTAATTAGGACTACTAAGTAGACGTAAGGTTTTTATGCATGATATCTGGATATGGTGGGTACACTGCTTGCCCTCCACAGTACTAAACACATGTCCATGGCCAAAAAGTTGGTCCGGTGATAACCTGACCAACCGGACCGCTTCCGGCGGGCCAGATATGCATGCTTTTGTTGTCATTGTTGTCCTTTGGACCCCTACGAGGTCCCTTTTGGCGCTGCGCTGCGCTCGGAGTTTGTCACTGCGTGCAGACTGTGCGCTCGGACTGCGCTCGGAGTTTGTCACTGCGCTCGGACTGTGCAGGTTGCGCCACTGCGCGCTTGTGTGCATGTATTTTCTCCATTTTCTCTGTACACGTTCTTTGCTTCTTCCTGAACTCTTCCTCAGAAACAGAAGAGAATCTGTTCCGCTGAGTCGTGTGTGTACGTGGCACAGGAGTAAGTGGGAAGCATCGGAAGGGCCCATGGTCAGGCCCTGCAACCCCAACGACAATTGGCGCCCAACGTGGAGCTCAAACCCACGACCCTGAGATTAAGAGTCTCATGCTTGACGGACTGAGAACCTGACGATGGGCTCTTCCGATACTCTCCTCTTACTTCCATCCCCGTTTACACACACAGGTCAGAGGAACAGATTCTCTTCAGTTTCTGAGGAAGAGTTCAGGAAGAAGCCCAGAAGGTGTACAGAGAAAAAGGAGAAATACATGAATACATGCACGCAAGTGTGCAGTGGCGCAACCTGCGCAGTCCGCACGCCCGGTCCGCATGCAGCGACGAACTCCGAGCAGAGCGCAGCGCCAAAAGGGACCTCGTAGGTAGGGGTCCAAAGTACAACACTTAAAGCATAACACATACACTGTAAGTCTCGCTCCACATATACTGGCATACACAGAGACATAGACAGCAATAGCGACAACACACAAAGTGAAGGGTAGTTGGCCGCAGCCAGATGTGACTGGGTAGTTGGCCGCAGCCAGATGTGAACCGGATAACGAGTGAGGTATGGAAGCAAGCAAGGACTGAGAACAGAGTGTCTCAGATAGAATAGTCGTGCCAGTGGATAGCAGAAATAGGCCATGATGCAGAACCACTTGGGACCGTCAGATTAATTTTCCTGGACCGAGCCAGCCGGGAAAAAACCCTCGCGCCGACGGACGCATTTGTGAGGGAAAAAACCGGGTGTATATCCCCAATGGCGATTAGGCATCATGTAGGCCTGGCAAGCACATCACGGCAAACAGTGATAAAAAGCATTGATAATATGCACAGAAATAAAGGGTGGGAGGGCAGGGACACTGGTGAGACTCAAAACTGACTGAAGAAGTCAGGAAAAGAAGCGACAACAAAGAACACACCAGATGCCATATTTGCAACTGAAAATATTTCGCGAGAAATCATTTCTCGCCTATCTCGCTGCGCTCGGCCGGCGAGAAATACAACGTCTTGTGGAGCCAGGGCATGGGCAATCGGTGACCCCAAGCCAGGGCATGGGCAATCGGTGACCTCAAGCCCGAGCATGGGCAATCGGTGACCTCAAGCCAGGGCATGGGCAATCGGTGACCCCAAGCCAGGGCATGGGCAATCGGTGACCCCAAGCCAGGGCATGGGCAATCGCTGACCCCAAGGTTTGCTCTTCACGAAACTAACTTTCCACCTGAACGCGCGTATACATGTATGTCAGGGCTTTGTTGTGTTGTGTTGTGTATTCTGCTGTTGTGCCACCATATTAGGACGCCATGGGTCACAGTATGGCGGACTGGGATATGGATGGCGTGATGGACTGGTGGATGACTGCCATACATGGAGGCAATAAATCTGTCAACTGCGATGTTGTCGGCTGCACGTTCTCAAACACTGGTAACCTCTTCTACCGCAACAAGGGCAATCGTCGTATGGAGGACTTGACAGATAAGGTGTGTTGTGCACCTGCACTGACAGTCTGTTTTGTGTTGCTGAAAAGTCATGTGACTAGCTACTGTCGTGTGGACATTGAAATCCATTGAGAAGTCAAGCAGCCACGGAGCGCTGTATTTGCAGGCGGCCGTGAGCACTGCTGGTCCATGTTTGCACTGTGAACATGAACTACGGTGCGTGTACGCGCTAAAGGCAGTAAGGGCGCCGGCCCCGGTCATCCCATCGGATTTTTCAATGTCCACCACAGCATTGTCCTTTTTACCACGGCCATGTCACTCTCACATGTTTATTTAGGTATCCGACTGACTGGCATCATGTTGCTGGGACAGTGCACATTCAGAATCATTCTTCCCCCATTCTTCTGGGCCGGTGTTTTTCACCCTGCTCAATACCGTTGTGTTCCCATCAGATCTAGTGATCTAGTGTAAATCTGCTATGTCTGCATGACAATTAGGGTAATGTCTTGGTCACGTAGCCACTTAGACAGTAGAGACGGCTTGCTTGTTTTGTCTGTATTTCAAGTCTCATCTTCTGATGAGGATCAGTGTACTAGTGTCTGCATAGCTTGAAGTGTGCGTGCACGTGTGCGGTTGTGTGTGTGTGTGTGTGTGTGTGTGTGTCTGTCTGTCTGTCTGTCTGTCTGTCTGTCTGTCTGTCTGTGTGTGTCTGTGTGTTTCTGTGTGTCTGTGTGTGTGTCTGTGTGTGGGTGCACGTGTGCGGTTGTGTGTGTGTGTGTGTGTGTGTGTGTGTCTGTGTGTGTCTGTGTGTGTCTGTGGGTGCGTGTGCGTGCATGTGTGTGCGTGTGTGTGTGTGTGTGTGTGTGTGTGTGTGTGTGTGTGTGTGTGTGTGTGCCAGCTAGTTCGGTTGGTGGGTACACTCATGCCAGATAGTGTTGGGTCTTGTAGTAGACGGACTTCCCCCTACACAAATCACTATGTATTACTATGTAGCGTAGTAGACGGACTTCCCCCTACACAAATCACTATGTATTACTATGTATTGCACTATGCATTGCTGACACCATCAGATCCCTTGCTTTCATTCGCTAGCTAGCGCTCGGAGCTGTAACTGGCAATCTCGTACCATATAATATATATAGATCCGTGTGTCAGTTGCCCAGCTCAGTTGTTGCAGAGTCTTTGCGTCCGTTGTTTCTGTCGTCTTCCCTTCACTTATTGAGTCTTTCAATATACTATAAGTAATTCTGTGTCACCTACGTTTGTCGTTCCGTGTGTGCAATATTGTTCCCTGAGAATACTACCTGTGTTTTGCCGGAGAGACTGAACCAGTTTTGCCTTGTCACTCGGTCGCGTATTACATTTGGTGGCAGCGGTGTTAGCTCTGCGTTCGTCAGTCGCAGTATTCCGGACCACGCCTCGTTATTTCGCCGTGCAGTGAACGTTGCCGTTGCCGTTCTCGTCTCAACTCAAGCTGAGTAACTTTGTTCCGTGCCACTTTACGATTTTAATATTTACATTTTTGTAGTGCTAGTATTTTCTAGGCTTACTTTGTTGGAGCTATTCGTAGTCTTGTCCCCTAAGTAAGCTAGCTCTTCGTTGCCAGTTTTTCTTGCACTGCTCGCCGTACTTGAACTGTTGCTATAGCGTCGGCTTAGTCCTCAAACGCGTCCCGTGTTGCTTGCGAAGTCCTATAGGCCTACTTGTTTGTTTGTTAGCCTTATATACAAGACACCGAAAATGGCACAGAATCCTCAAGCTGCTGCTGCCGCTGCCGCTGCTGCTCCCGCTGCACCAGCTCTGGCTCCGGGTCAGGTTCCGGCTCCTCGACAGGCACCACTTGCTCGGCCGGTAGTTGTACCGCCGACGTTTGGGGGTGCCAGCCAAGACGATTGGCACTGCTTCATCGCCAGGTTCGACGCAGCGTGCGTGGTCAATGGGTACCGGGATGCGGAAAGGCTGCAGTTTCTACCTTGTTGTTTCAAGGAGAGTGCTTTTACAACTTACCAGACCATTCTGGCGGCGCACCCGCAGTATACGTATGTAGAAATGTGCACCGAATTAGGGCTACGGTTCGCACCGCCACAGCAAAGTCGCCTCCTTGAGGCCGAGTTTCGAGCTCGCCTGAAACGATCCACTGAGTCCCAGGCCGAGTTCGCCGCAGCTCTTCAGCGCCTTGCGGCACGCGCCTTTCCAGGTCAACAGGGTCCGCTGTTAGATCGCCTGACGCTCAATCAATTTATTGACGGCCAGGTCAATAGTGACCTGCGCTTGCACATCAGGACATCCAGCCCTGCAGCCCTCGATGCCGCCGTTCGACGGGCGTACGAAGTTGCAGCGATCTTAGAGGTCGAGAATCGCCGCAGTCTTCCGGTTCCTACACCAGCCTGCGCTGCCCTGACCGCCTCTATGCCTCAGGCACACTCCGTAGGTCCACTCGCGGATCCGACTCCTACGTCCAGTGCCACCGTGGCCCACGTAGCTTCGAGTTCGACTTCGAGCTCCACCGACCCGCTCGTACTATCGTTGTTGAGCAAAATTTCGGACCAGCTAGCTGATCTACAGGTCTTCTCCGCAACCTCCGCTCCGTCGCCACGGGCGTATAGTGACGACACTCGAGCTCCACGCGGCCGTGGTCACAGCGTCTTCCCTCGAAGCGCGCCCATGTCGGGCCCAACTCGATTTCCTGGCAGCTCGAATCGTAACCCGCCTCCGTACAACGGCACAGGCCGCGGACTTTACGATGGCGCGCGGGATCGCGGGTGCTTCAATTGTAGCGATCCGTCCCACTTCCGTCGTGATTGTCCCCACTCGACGCGTGGGGGTCGTCCGTCGGGAAACCGCTATTGACTGGTGCTGCTCGGCAAGCTCCAGTCTTCGATACTAGTGTTCCTAGCTCGACTGTGCCGACTTGTACTGGTTGTGAATGTCGTCCCTGTTATTGTACTGTTGATGTGCGTTGCCCTACGTCTGCACCTGTGACTGTGTGTCCTGCTACTCATGTTCAGTCGTCTTCTGCAGTTTCTCCGTCTGTCTATGTTGCGGTTAGTCTCCAGGAGACGAAATGCCATGCTCTTGTTGACACTGGTTCTAGTGTGTCCCTTGTGTCTACTGCATTGTGGCATAGTCTGTGCACGACCTCCTCTGTCCCTGTGTCTGCTGCTCCTGTTGTGTCTGGTGTGACGGGCCGTCCCCTCTCCACTACGGGTACCGTGTCCCTCTCTGTTTGTACACCCTCGTTCGTAGCTGTTCAGAATTTTATCGTTGCTGCTGATATCACGTCTGATGTAATCCTCGGTGCTGACTTCCTACAGCAGCACAATGTCCTGCTTGATTTCTCCCGGGCTCAGTTGGTCCTGGATGATGTTAAATTGCCGCTTGTACCCCTTCCACGTGTGCGTTCGCTTTCTGCTGCTGTTGCTGCCGCGCCCACACCAGCCCATGTTACGACTGTCGTGCCCGACCTGAGTGCTCCGACTGTTCCTGCTGCCGTCGCTGCCTCCGTACCTGCTGCCGTCCCTGCCTCCGTGCTTGCTGCTGCTGCTCCGCCTGCTGCTGCTGCCAATGCTGTTGAATCTCTGGTGTCTCGTGTTGCTTCCTCGTTCCGTGTGTGCATCACACAGTCTGTTTCAGTTCCGCCCTGTCATGAAGTTATTCTTCCGGTTGCCCCGTCGGTATGTGCTGCTGGCTCTCCTGCTGCTGATACTTCGTATCTAATCGAGCCCCTTGATTCGTTCTCAGAGAAACACCCGACATTGGATGTCGGAACGTCTGTCACGTCCCCGGATAACTTGGTTATCAATGTGGTTAACCGTGGTACCACCCAGATTACCTTGCATGCAAATACTCATATTGCTGTATGTGAACCTGTCCCTGAGTGTGCTGCCACTTGTGCTGCTGTTGATGATTCGCCGTTCATGCCGCCGCCGCCTGTACCAGTAGAGAAGATTGATGCGTATATCGAAAAGAATTGTTGTCACCTGTCACCAACGGACCGTTCTACCTTGCGTGACCTTCTCCTGCAGTACCACGATGTATTTGCTCTTCATCCCGACGACCATGGGTACTGTGATCTTGCGCCACATAAGATAGCCACAGGTGATCATTCGCCTATTAAACAACAACCTTACCGTGTTCCATTCCGTCATCGTGAGCAGCTCCAGAATATTATCAATGACCTTCTGCAGAAAGGTGTCATTACTCCCTCTGCGAGCCCGTGGGCTTCGCCTGTTGTCCTCGTGCCTAAGAAAGATGGCTCTCTGCGTCTCTGTGTTGACTATCGCCGGCTCAACAAGATCACCACAGCTGATGCTTATCCTCTTCCTCGGGTCGACGATACCCTAGACGCGTTCTCTGGCTCTAAGGTATTCTCGACACTTGACCTTGCTAGTGGCTACTGGCAAATCGCAATCCACCCTCAAGACCAAGCTAAAACAGCCTTCGTGACGCCCCTTGGGTTGTACGAGTTCACGGTTCTTCCTATGGGTTGCTGCAATGGGCCTGCCACATTTCAGCGCTTGATGCAAACGATCCTAAATAATCTCCTTACCAGTCCTGATCCCGTCTGCCGTGTGTTTTTTGATGACATTGGCCTTGGGTCAGCCACTGTTAGTCTTGGCTTGGATGGCCTCCGGTCCGTTTTCACGTGTCTTCGTCGGTACAATCTCAAGCTTCGGCTTGAGAAATGCGCTTTCCTGCAGCCCCGCACTAAGTTCCTTGGTGTGGACATCAGTGCCGATGGCCTTCACACCTCAGCTTCGAAGGTTCACGATATTGTTCACTGGCGTACGCCGACATCCATTCGTGAAGTGCGTGGTTTTCTCGGCCTCGCTGGGTATTACCGGAAATTTGTTCCGCACTTCGCGCAAGCTGCCGCCCCACTGGCCGCACTCACTAAGAAAAATGCGAAGTTTTCCTGGGGTCCTGCTTGTCAGGCTGCTTTCTGTGTACTAAAAAAACGCCTCTCATCTGCGCCTGTGCTTGCTCAGCCTGACTACACGTCTGCCGCCGCTCCCTTCATCCTTGATGTTGATGCCAGTGATTTTGGTATGGGCGGTGTGCTCTCTCAGGTACAAGATGGCCATGAGTGTGTGATTTCCTACGGTAGTGCTATTCTCAACACCGCCCAACGTAACTACTCCACTACAGAGAAGGAACTCCTTGCATTTGTTCACTTCGCTGATGTGTTCCGCTACTACCTCGTTGGTCGAGCATTTGTTGTGCGCACTGATCATGCTGCTCTTAAATGGCTCCATTCGCTCAAGGAACCACGCGGTCGTCGTGCCCGTTGGTTAGAACAACTTGCTGAACTCGAGTTCACGGTTATTCATCGCCCTGGCCGTCAACATTGCAATGCCGATGCTCTGTCTCGCCGTCCTCCTGAGTCTGTTGCCGCCACTACCCGTCAGTCACCGCCGGACCAGTCGTCACCAGCCGCACCAGCAGCTCCTGCTCCTGCTTGTGATCCTGGACCCACTGTACCGAAACCTGCACCTGACTCCTGGCTGCCGCGCTTTACTGCTGCTGAGCTGCTTGCTGCGCAAAAAGAGGATCCTGATGTGTCCATTGTGTTAGGCTGGCATGATTCTAGTCATGATGTGTTTAATTCTCCCCCTGCACACACATTAACTGCCTCTAGCCGTGCTGTTCGCCGCTATGCTTCTGAAATTCATTTGCTTTCCCTACGTGATGGTGTTTTGTATCGCACAGACCCATCGGCTGATTCTGTTTTGCAATTAGCTGTTCCGTTCTCTTTCCAAGCTGATATCTTAGCTGCAGTGCACGCCGATGTTAGTGGTGGTCATCTCGGTGCTACAAAGACCATTGACAAGGCCAAATGCCGTTTCTTCTGGCCAGGTATGTCAGCTGATTTGCGCACATTTGTAGCTAATTGCCAAGAGTGCATGTCCCGTAAGAGCGCTACGACTGGCCGAGCACCATTGCAGTCCATGCGAGCTGGCTTCCCTAACGAGCTCGTAGCCATGGATCTCGTTGGACCACTGCCTACCAGTCGCCATGGCAACCGTTACCTACTGGTATGTAGTGACTACTTCTCACGTTGGCCTGAAGCGTACCCTCTACCCACTATGACTGCTGCTGCCGTTGCGGATGTGTTCTTTCGGAACTGGATCTGTCGGTTTGGTGCCCCAGAACAACTCCACACCGATCAGGGCACACAATTTGAGTCTGAACTCTTCAGTGAACTGTGTCGCCTCATGAATATCCGAAAGACTCGGACCACCGCGTATCATCCCCAGGGCGATGGGCTCGTGGAACGCCTCAACCGCACCATAGTTTCAACGTTGCGAGTGTATGTAGCGGATCTGCCCACCTTCTGGGATCAGTATGTTTCAACCGTCCTGCTTGCATACCGTACAGCCAAGCATTCTTCTACCCAATTCACCCCAGCTCAGCTTATGTTTGGTCGCCAACTCCGTCTGCCTATCGACCTTGTCTATGGGTCACCCCGACAGAGTTTGTGTCGCCCGCCGAATATATAACACAACTGTCCAAGTCCCTCCACCATAGCTTCGATACTGCCCGTCGTAATGATAATGCTGCGCACCACAGCCAGAAGGACCACTACGACCTCCGTCAACGTGGCACTGCATTCCAAGTCGGTGATAGTGTGTGGCTCCTTGAACCTGGAATGCGTCGCAAACTCCAGCCACCGTGGACCGGACCATACCGGATTGTCCATGTGTCGCCGCCAACGTCATACGACATTCAATTGATCAACGAACCCTCCAGCACCAGTAAGCGTGTACATTTCAACCGCCTCAAGCTACACGCCCGCTCAAACGCCAAGTCGTCAGTCTCTCAGTCCGGCCCAGATGTCCCGCTGTCTGAAGCGCCACTGGCTCCTACTTCTCCATGTCCGCCGCCTGTTCCGCTATTCTCCTGGCCTGATGCTGATGATGCCCCACCCCAACCTGTTCCTCCTCCGCCGCCGGTTTTGCTGCAGCCAGCACCACCAGCACCTGGTCCGCGTGCCCATCTGCACCGCAACGCCGGTCTTCCTGTTCGTTACAGGAACAACTATGTGTTCCCACAATGAGTTCCAAACTCGCACTTGCCTTGCCTTTCTGCTCCACTCTGTTTCCATTGTGTGCTTGTGTATGATTTTCTTTTTCTTGCTGATGTATTTTGCTGCTTGAGCCTCGTTTAGGTCTACGTTAATTCTGTATTATGTTCTTGTTTGTTTTCCGAGGACGGAAAATTATTTGAGGGGGGAGCAGTGTAGTAGACGGACTTCCCCCTACACAAATCACTATGTATTACTATGTAGCGTAGTAGACGGACTTCCCCCTACACAAATCACTATGTATTACTATGTATTGCACTATGCATTGCTGACACCATCAGATCCCTTGCTTTCATTCGCTAGCTAGCGCTCGGAGCTGTAACTGGCAATCTCGTACCATATATATAGATCCGTGTGTCAGTTGCCCAGCTCAGTTGTTGCAGAGTCTTTGCGTCCGTTGTTTCTGTCGTCTTCCCTTCACTTATTGAGTCTTTCAATATACTATAAGTAATTCTGTGTCACCTACGTTTGTCGTTCCGTGTGTGCAATATTGTTCCCTGAGAATACTACCTGTGTTTTGCCGGAGAGACTGAACCAGTTTTGCCTTGTCACTCGGTCGCGTATTACAGGTCTGTTGCCAACGGGCTCGGCTGCTTGAAGGTGTATTGTTGTACCTACCACCTTTGTTGGCTTCAGGGTTCATATACTTTCTATTTGAAGTAGACATACCTGTTAACCATGGACTGCTTCTGGCTAGATTAACTCTTGTTTAATCAATGGTGCTAGTGAAGCTTATATCAGATCCACTCTGATTTAGCCACCCACACTAGTAGCAAGTATTACCTTCACTGGGGGCAGGGGTAACTGCAGTTGGATCCCGGGACGGATACCCTGATGCCGTCAATCCTTTTTCTGCACCTTGTCCTCACCCACTTACTGAGGTGTGGTGAGCCCATAAGTGGGATCATTTCAAGTCCACCCTAGTTTGGGGATTTCAGAAGGTGTCGGCCGTTGGGCGGTTCAATGGCCAATTGAGTCATCTTTCCAAGATTCCTTTTGAGTCTCTCTCCCCTCTCCCGGGGAGACCCACGTGACCAGTTTTGGCAGTGAGCAACAAGTACAGTACAGTACAGTGTGTGTGTGTGTGCGTGTGTGCGTGCGTGTGTGCGTGCGTGTGTGTATCTGTATGGTGGGTCTGTATCCTGTATGTTATTGTGTGTCTGTCTGCTCCTCTCCATGTGTCTGTCTTGTCTCAAGATTGGTATCCGCGAAGGCTACTGGGGCTGGGGAAATTCAATGTTTGACTTCAACAATGACCGATGGGTCGATTTCATCATGACCAATGGTAGGTGATATATGCTACCAGGACAGTGCTGCCATGGTGATGTGCCCATGGTGATGTACCCATGGTGATGTGCCCATGGTGATGTGGCCATGCTGTTGCAAAAGAAGGATTCACGTGCGGGATTCGAACCCAGCACCCCTGTCTTTCCGGGACAGTGCTTTACCGATAAGGCTACCGGCAAGAGTACATAAAAACCAGAGTGTGCAGCTCGGATGGGTTGCTGTCACGGCGGAATTCCGTGATTACATCATTTTAGTGATGTAGTGCGTACAAGCAGGATTCAAGCAGGTCTCTTTCTGCACAACTGCAGCTCAGTTGTACGCACTACGCCATTTCCCGCCTCAGATCTGCGCCAAATATGATGTAATCACGGAATTCCGCTGTGACAGACACCCATAGCAGAAAAGGCCCCAAGCTACACACTCTGGTTTTCATGTACTCTAGCTACTGGGGATCACACACACACACACACACACACACACACACACACACACACGTGCACACACGTGGCTCCCTCTTGCTACCATGGTTATGTTGCCATGGTGATCTTGCCATGGTGATGGTTTCTGTTTTGTTTTGTTTTCGGGTTTTTTCAATTCGTTGCCTCAACAGTACTTTAGCAAGAAGGACCCATGAGTGTGTGTGTGTGTGTGTGTGTGTGTGTGTGAGTGCGTGGGTGATCCCCGGTAGCCTAATCGGTAGGGCACTGTCGCGGAAAGACAGGGGTGCTGGGTTCGAATCCCGCTCGTGGATCCTTCTTTTGCAACAGTACAATGTGCAACTTCAAAGAGTGTTGAACATGTTGTCTGTCTTGCTGTCCTCTTATTGGGAGATGATTATCAGCTGCCTAGTGTAGCAGCACTATGTTACCATGGTTACTTCACACCCTGGGGTGATCATCGGAGGTTGGTTTCATGCAGGGTCCTGGCTTGCCTGTGTATTTGTATTTGTGTGGCATGCTGATGGTGTGCTCTATTGCAGGCTTTGATACTGCATCCACCACAGTCGATGATCTATACAAGCAAACACCGTCGCGGCTCTGGGAGAATCGTGGACCAAAGTTCAATCTGAGTGCAGTCGAGGTGAGGGCGAAATTTACGGTTGTTGTGCTCTTCAACCATCACGCTTAGCAGCGATGAAGTGTTGTGGAAGCTGGGTATACAGATCCATCACCATCACGCTTAGCAGCAAAGAAGTGTTGTGGAAGCTGGGTATAGTACAGAACCATCACCATCTTCTGATGCAGTACATGTATCATGGGTTTCACACTAAGCCTTGTCAGTTCGACGAATAAAATCTTAGAAGGGAATACCAACGTATTGAGTTGTGGAAGTTGACCCCAGCTTCCTTTGCGGAGTAATTTGTGTCACCAGATTTCGTTTCCCCGCACTTCTGCTGAGAGCGCGTTTGCCTCTTTTAGTACGGACTTCCCCCCGGGAAGGAACTGGCAGCGGCATGGGGTCCATCTAGTTTGCTCATCTGTTTCTGCACAGCGAGCTGTTCACTATGGCATCAATCACACTGCAGAGGGAAGAGGTCTCCTAACAGTGGACATCGATGGTAGGTGATACATTGATAATACGATAATGGAAAGTGTGAAAAGAATGTTGTTTTTTGGTGTCAATGCTAAGTGAGAAAACATTGCTGCCTGGTGGTCATCGGTCATGTCATCGGTCATGTCATCGGTCATGTCATCGGTCATGTCACTCATGTGCAAATCATCATTATACCAGTGTGTATTAAAGAGAACTGAGGCTTTGGGTTATCGTGTGATGGTGGGGAAGTGGTGGTGATTGGGGAAGTGGTGGGGTGGTGGGGTGGTGGGGTGGGGGGGGGGGGGTGGTGGGGTGGGGGGGGGGGGGGGAGGAGTGCTGGCTGCACTGATCGTAGACCAGACTGGGGAAAGTCAATTTTTGCAAAGTGGAATTACTTGTTTGCGTGTTGAAGCTATCATCATGCATTGTAAATATCAACCTAGGTCTTCCACATCCAGCAACTATGTATTGATTATGCTATGGCCTTTCTGGCTAATCTCCCCCCCCCCCCTCCCCCGCGTCCTCTCGGTACAGATGACGGTGATGAAGACGTTATTATCATCAACGCCATAGGAACCCCGACAGTGTTGAAAAATCAGGGTGGAAACCGTAACAAGTGGATCAAGATCAAGGTCCGACACGCGTAAGCTGAACTTGATCTCTTTTCTCAAACTGCCAGACTGCGCATTTCGACCTTCCTTGCATGTAAGGTCTCCTCGACAGAGCTCGGCAGAGTAACTGACAGAACAATTTGCAATGTCATTTTGTCAACAAGAAAGCACTTTAACTTGTGAAACGGTCAGCTCAACACATCAAACTATCAGAGTACTCCAACTGCCTGCAAGCCATACAGCCCACTTTGGCGTAGTGTGATTTCTTTTATTCTTGTCCTTCGAAGTACATACTAGTCATATATGGTTGTCTGATGATTGGTTCAGCCATGAAACTCTGAGTCACAACGGAATTTGCCCAAGGTTTTCATTGTGCGCCCTTGTGTACTAGTCATGTAATAATATATGCCGGGTCTCATTTTGGAAAGTGGCCACAATCCATTGAAAATTATAGCGTATGATTTGAAGAATGCAACAGCAATTTCAATCAGCCATCGAATATCTTTCGTGTCAGTCATCCTCAGAAAGTGAAAATCGGTGAACAGAAATCAGTACTCCTGTGTTTGTTGCCCCACTCACATGTACAGGTGCCCCAATGATGCGGCACTGTCGTGTGACAGTCTGGGTTCAAGGGTTTATGTAACGTCAACTGACGGCTACACACAGGTAAGATGATAACAGATGAATTGATTTTCTTTGTCAAATGCTCCAAGCGAGTGTGAACTCCGGCGATGAATCATTTCATCTCCAGCAAAGTGAGCTGCAACCTTCAAAGCGGCAGAAGACCTCCATCATCAGCTACTTTAACACTTCTTCAATACAGTACATGCATTCACGCAATCCACACCAGTCCAAATGAACACTAGGAAATTTTAGAACCGAACGTTTTCGTTCCCTTCTCTTGATGGGCTCTTACAAGGAAAAAAGCAAAAAATGACTAAGACAGCAATTATATGAGCAAAGAATTGAGGGAGAAAACGTTCGGTTCTAAAAAAATTCCCAGTGTTCATTTGGACGGTGTGGATTGCTCAGAGGCATGTACTGCACTGAAGAATTGAAAACGCTTCCAATTTGTTTTAGAAATTACATCTAATCTGGTCATCAGAAATAGAACCGGATCAGGTTGCAGAGGACCAACAGTATCTTGGCTGGCACAGCTACCATGACTCACCCAAAACTGGTTGAAGCCCAAAAGAACACCCTTTGGTTTGACCCCATCAGTAGTAGCAGTAGTAGTAGAATTTATTATTTTACTAGGGAACTCCCAACAGGCGTTGCCTTTTTACCGAGTCGATGTTGTGCAATCATATTCCTGATCCAGTACCGAGTTCTGCTCTTTCTGTGTAGAATAGCCCTGCGGTGCGCAGGCTATGGCTAACAGTCACATCTGTGTGTGTCACGTGTTGGCAATGTGCAGATGCAAGAAATCGGCTCTGGATCACAGTTCATGGCGCAGAATGAGCTGACGGCACACTTTGGCCTTGGCAATCTCACTGATAACGTTGCTGTGAGGGTCACGTGGCCATGGCTGGGCAAGTCAGTGAATATCTCTGATGTACCGCCGAACAGCAGACTACGTGTTCTTGCGCCACCGTAAGCATTGTGGTTATTTTCAGCATTTTTAAACAATGTGTTTGACAATTCCAGTCATTCTTCAGCTATTCATTGAATATCAATTTTCATGTGCGGGTGAAGATTAGCTCTGTCTAAGTGTGACCGATCACTACTACCCCCACTCACTCCCGGCGCACTGTTTGACACTCAACTACTGATAACATACAAGTCTGCCACCGTGAGATTCGCGGGACATAGTGTGTCTGGAAAAGCCATGGTTCATCAACACATGGCACATGGTACATGGCACATTTGTGGGTTGGCCGGCAATACTTGCATATACCATGTGACCAAATGGCAAGCGACTGGTGTTTTCATGTGGTGACAACGCCATCACGTTTGACCAAGTGACCATATGTGATGTGTATGTTTCACATGACCAAGTGATCACATGACCAAGTGACCATATGTGATCTGTATGTTTGCATGGTATGCACCACACAACTAAGTGATCACATGACCAAGTGATATTTAGTTGTTTGCATATATCACATGACCATAATTGAGTCACTGCAACGCATGGCAGAGCACGGCATCGCCAAAAGGCCTGAGGCCATGGTCAACTGATAATATACTAGTGGGCCACCCGCGAGATTCGCGGGATATACCGTATTATCTCTAATATAAGCACGGTCCTTTATTTTTTCAATGTACCTCCGCCCCGTGCTATTAATGGAGACGTTCCTTTATTGGAGACTGTTCCATTTTTGTTTCAACCTCATTTCAGAGGTTGGTGCACCGCGCGCCATCGCGCGACTGACCACGATAACATGTACATGTACATGCAATGTGCGTACATATACTACCGTACCGTGTCCTTTATTGGAGACCCGGGTGGTTTTCAGAGCACTTCACAGTGAGCACTTCACAGTGTGCTTATAATGGAGACTGAGCACTTTATTTTTTGAATGCCGCCCCAAGGTGTTCTATTATTGGAGACGTGCTATTATTGGAGACTGTGCTTATATTAGAGATAATACGGTAGTTTGTCTGGCAAAGGCATGGTTCATCAACACATGGCACATGGCACATGGTAGCAAAGCAAAGGACCACGAGCGCATGCAGTCTCGTTACCAACTATTTCCTATGCTACTGCATTTGCACACTATCCTCTCCGTGTCTCCTCCTGCTCAATACCTCTGTCAACAGAAAAACAAGTGCAACATCTCGGACGTATGGGTCTCTGCAGCAGTGTCCCAAGGTCCTGCTCTCCAGTGTGTCCAAGGTAAGAATGTTCGGTGTCACAGCGTGTTGTGTATTCTCTATCACCGCCATAGGCATGGCCATGGCTTTAGGAGCATGTGGCAGGGCAGGGACAGGGACAGGGGCAGGGGTGGGGGCAGGGTCTCTCTCTCTCTCGCTCTCCCTCCCCACCCACTCTTGGTGCGTCTAGGTGGCTATGATGTCGAGACCCTAGGTCGGCGGAGCTCCCTAAACCTCACCACCACTGCCACGATTCAGGTTGTGCGTGCTTCCCCTAGCTGCATCTCATGTTTGGCATTAAGTGGTCTTTGTAAAAAAAAAAAAAAAAAAAAAAAAGGGGCAGGGGCAGGGGTAGGGGCAGGGGTAGGGGCAGGGCAGGGCAGGGGCAGGGGCGTTGGAAGGTGTTTTAGGGTAGTACGGTGCGCCACCTGAAGTATAATAATTTACTTGTGGGACTGGGGTGGCTCCTCTGGACATTTTCGAAATTTAGAGTCTAAATCAGTGCCTTTTACTAATCCACAGGTTACCAGGGACAAAGAGTGGTACGGTCAATACTGTATTGGACCAAGACCATTCGACTCAGCGCCCGAAACTCTACAGGATATGAAAGTTTCATTTTTTCGTGGAGTTCCCCTTTAAAATCCACAGGGTACCAGGACAAAGTGTGGTACGGTCAATACCGTAGTGACCGTAGCGTGTCCGACACCCCTGCCTGGTCTTGATCCTTCATGCTCCTGGATATGTTGTACTTGTAGCTGTTGATCTGGTGTGTATACCTGCCATCGTGGTCGTTGGTTTTCCTCGTGGTAGTTGAAGTTTTCAAGTGCTCCAGTCTTTGTTTCCACTCGCAGCCACACAACACCACAACTCATCTTGTTTATTTTTTCAAAGTAGATCTACTAGCCCTTAGTATTAGAGAAAGAAACGACAGTGCCGTGCGCCGTCTATCATGAATCGGTCCAGCCTACGAAAGGTCCACATCGCCTGATCGGGCCTGCAAACCTGCAAACTGATGTACCTGAAGTTTTTGGGAGCTGCTGATCGACTTGCGAAAGGTGGAAATAGCTAAAATGAGGCTGAGCGTAATCCGCTGCACACCAGCAAGTATTTTCGTACAAGGCGGAGCAGAGTCACCGTTGACAGCTCCACAAATCATTGCGTTTCGGACGACCAACAAAGATTGTGGAAGTAAAATTTAATTGAAAAACATTTGGTCACTCAGCTCGGCTGCTCCGACATGTCGAGTCAACACCTACCTGTACGGCAACCATACTCTTCAAAGGTTTCAACGAGTCCCTGAGTTTTTCCGTGGGCGCAGTGATGAGATCGAGAGGCTACGGAGTCGGTGATGAGCGCTGTCGATCACAACATCGTGTCCCAAATGGTGGCGAATGACACATGATGGTGTATGACTTGATGAACGATCATGTGGTTATGAATGGTTACAGAAATGTTGAAACCGGGAGAGAGAGAGAGAGAGAGAGAGAGAGAGAGAGAGAGAGAGAGAGAGAGAGAGAGAGAGAGAGAGAGAGAGAGAGAGAGAGAGAGCGAGAGCGACTGGATGAATGAGACTCCTGCACAGATGAGTACAGTCTTTGATGTGGTTGCATGGAATCGTGAGTGTGATTGCTCTGGTAGACCACTACCCCATGTACTGAACAGTTGCGTTGTGAGTGAAAAATGTATGGTTACTCGGCTCAGTTCATCTGCTTTGCATGTCGCTACAAATTATATCACCTATTGATCGTGCCTCTGGTTTGTGCTCTTCAGGTGCAGGTCTGCTGAAGATATAATAGTTTAAGTTGCAGTATTTGTGTGTGTGTGTGTGTGTGTGTACACGTGTATGTGCATGTGTTCTGTGTGGTTATTTATGTGATTTATGTATAGCTTGATAACGGAGTGAATTTGACTGTCAATCCTGATAACCGCACCATATCCGTGCAAATCCCGCCGGAGATGACGGATATTTCAGCCGGCAAATTCACCATCTCATTCAACTATACAATCCAGGTAACTTGGCTGCTTCGCAAAACATGGTACAGTCTCCACGTACTAGGGGCATCTCTACCCGCAACTGTAACCTTGGTGTGCTACACCCATAGTGCAGCAGCTGCTTGAAGCGTTAGCTAGGCTTTACCTGTACCAGATTCCAGGTTCTAACCGACCCGCGGTCAGTGCCATTACCATTATAATGCAGCCATGGATATTGAATTAAACCCGACTTTGGTCAAATTGAGGCTCAAATCCCACTTAAAATTTGGAAATCTGGGTTTGGGATCTGCTTTGGCGCATGGCGTACCTGTTGTGATTCTGTAAAACTCGGCTCAATTTCTAATTCCCCATCCTTGGACTTTTCTAGACTGGTGACAAAAAGATTTGCACTGGTCACACAATGCGAAATGCACCGTTGTTTTCACAAAACCTACGACTATGCATAGCAGACACCATAAAGTTAGATTGCCAGTTTTGGGATGAATGGACTGTAGTGCCCAAACTAAACTTAGCATGACACGTTGTGTTGGACTCTTATGTGTAGTTTGGAAAAGTAGAGTGAATGTGACCAGGACAGGATTTGATAATGTGTGTGTTTCGTGTCTGTTTGTCTGTCTGTCTGTCTGTCTGTCTGTCTTTCTGTCTGTGTGTATGTGTCTGTGTGTCTGTGTGTCTGTCTGTGTGTCTATGTGTCTGTCTGTTTGTCTTTCTGTCTGGGTGTCTGGCTGGCTGGCTGGCTGGCTGGCTGGCTGGCTGGCTGTGTCTGTATGTGTTTTTCCGTGTGTGCGCATGCGTGTGTGTAATGTAGTTGGTATCGTCATCAGCCAGCTTAAAGACCAGTACGACCACTGTAGAGATAGCAAGCACCCAACTACCGATTTCCCATCACCTGTTAGTCAACTGCAAAACAGCCCAGTACACACCGACCATAGCTCTGCCGGGACTAACACACAGGTCAGTACTAGAGTTGGGTACGGCTGACGGTGCTGCTCAAGCTGATGGTAATACTGATGCTGATGGTAATACAGATGCTGATGGTAATACTGATGCTGATGGTAATACTGATGCTGATGGTAATACTGATGCTGATGGTAATACTGATGCTGATGGTAATACTGATGCTGATGGTAATACTGATGCTGATGGTAATACTGATGCTGATGGTAATACTGATGCTGATGGTAATACTGATGCTGATGGTAATACTGATGCTGATGGTAATACTGATGCTGATGGTAATACTGATGCTGATGGTAATACTGATGCTGATGGTAATACTGATGCTGATGGTAATACTGATGCTGATGGTAATACTGATGCTGACGGTGCTGCTGATGCTGATGGTAATACTGATGCTGATGGTAATACTGATGCTGACGGTGCTGCTGATGCTGATGGTAATACTGATGCTGATGGTAATACTGATGCTGATGGTGCTGCTGATGCTGATGGTAATACTGATGCTGATGGTAATACTGATGCTGATGGTAATACTGATGCTGATGGTAATCCTGATGCTGATGGTAATACTGATGCTGATGGTAATCCTGATGCTGATGGTAATACTGATGCTGATGGTAATACTGATGCTGATGGTGCTGCTGATGCTGATGGTAATACTGATGCTGATGGTGCTGCTGATGCTGATGGTAATACTGATGCTGATGGTGCTGCTGATGCTGATGGTAATACTGATGCTGATGGTAATACTGATGCTGATGGTAATACTGATGCTGATGTTGCTGCTGATGCTGATGGTAATACTGATGCTGATGGTAATACTGATGCTGATGGTAATACTGATGCTGATGGTAATACTGATGCTGATGGTGCTGCTGATGCTGATGGTAATACTGATGCTGATGGTGCTGCTGATGCTGATGGTAATACTGATGCTGATGGTGCTGCTGATGCTGATGGTAATACTGATGCTGATGGTGCTGCTGATGCTGATGGTAATACTGATGCTGATGGTAATACTGATGCTGATGGTGCTGCTGATGATAATGACCATCACTTTACAGCACTACTTCGAAGTATACTGAAGTAAAAATCCTGGGAACCATGCAATGTGACATCTACATATTTAAACTGGGATGGTGAGCCAATGTAATCATGGATGCAAAAGAATTAGTCATGACTTGGCATCCTTCTTTTTTTATCCATGATTAGATGTATATATACCTTGTGATATGGACTGTGTGTAAGTGGTACATATCCGTTACTCTTGCAACATTCTGCAGCGTAGAGTGTAATCTCTGATTCAATCCTCGCCTGCACAGGGAAATAGCTGGCTTTGGTAACAATCAGAAGAACCCAATCTGGGGTGCGTCCGGTGCCAACCTACGCCGAGAGGTCCCCCAGGGATACTCGGACAGTGTGGCAACCCCTAGTGGACAGTGCACGCAGACGATGAGGATCAACGGCCAGTGCACGTACCCGCTGGAGAACACACGGGATGGTTCCGTACGGCCATCACCACGCAATGTCAGCAATGTCGTCTTCCAGCAGGTGTGTAGTGACTAGTAACGTTATCCCACTACCTTACCGTGTTCTGCCCGGATTCGAGAGTGGATTCAAGAGTGGATTCGAGAGTGGATTCAGAGATCTCTGCAGGAGGAGGGGGGGGGCAGTTTAGATCTCTACAGGAGGGGGAGGGGCAGTTTAGATCTCTACAGGAGGGGGGGGGGCAGTTTAGATCTCTACAGGGGGGGGGGGCAGTTTAGCTAAAACTGAATAGCTGATACATGTACATGTGCATGCATATAGTTTTTAGAAGTACATTTGCAAAATTTAGGGGGTTCCGCGGAACCCGCAGAACCCCCTGGATCCCCCTATGATTGCCCGGCTAAGGGGGGAAGGTACGTAACCGTTTGGGACGCATATAGAATATATTTTACTGACCGTGAAATTAACAAGAAAAATTGGATGTCCTCCACAGGGTCGTCGGAACCGGTGCAGCAGGTGCGGCCAAAGCCGCACCAATAATTCAATATCTTGTGAATTTTGAAGCAATGAAATATGCGCTGTTTAAGCCCAGTTTTCCCAAACCTTTCCCCGGGCAGGGCATCCAGACCCCCATCTTTTCATAGTCGCACCGATGTTGAATACATTCCGACACCTTTGCTGCTTAGTCTAGTTTGCACACTGTTGACCTGATGATGGAAAAAAGCTGAACAATCTGAAACGGTGTGCAGTGTGTGGCAGAGTGATGTGAACAAGCTGAACAATCTGAAACGGTGTGCAGTGTGTGGCAAAGTGATGGGAACAAGCTGAACAATCTGAAAGGCCTTTCTACAGAATAGAAGGTGTACGATAGTATCTCAAAGTCCCTTATCATCAGGTAGGGAACAGAATGTGGGGAACATTGGCCTGCGCAAGTTTGAAGAATGCATCAGGACTGGTGTCTAGGGTCCAGACTCCAGACGCTTATCACCTAGACAGCTGTTTCACATCAATACTACACAAATAATTGCTTCAGCCATGGAGCTTCCAAATCCAGCCAACCGCCCCCTAGCATCTATGCTTCACATGATAGTGCTGATCCCACTGCACACATGCCAAGTACTGTGACTTCCCACACAAATACATGTACAACCCCAAGGCAGAGGTGATCAGCCGTTCTATAGTCAGTCCAGGCTTACCAGTTAGCCTCAAGTGCCGCAGGTCAAGCATCCTGTACCTGCCCTGGCCTGACAGTAACCATACACACAGCAACACATACTCCAGCCTACCTACACACAGCAACACATACTTCAGCCTACCTACACACAGCAACACATACTCCAGCCTACCTACACACAGCAACACATACTCCAGCCTACCTACACACAGCAACACATACTCCAGCCTACCTACACACAGCAACACATACTCCAGCCTACCTACACACAGCAACACATACTCCAGCCTACCTACACACAGCAACACATACTTCAGCCTACCTACACACAGCAACACATACTCCAGCCTACCTACACACAGCAACACATACTCCAGCCTACCTACACACAGCAACGCATACTTCAGCCTACCTACACACAGCAACAACTTCTCCAGCCTACCTACACACAGCAACACATACTCCAGCCTACCTACACACAGCAACACATACTCCAGCCTACCTACACACAGCAACGCATACTTCAGCCTACCTACACACAGCAACACATACTCCAGCCTACCTACACACAGCAACACATACTCCAGCCTACCTACACACAGCAACACATACTCCAGCTTACTCGGAGTTGTGTGCAGAGTTTACACTGGAACGGTTCTGCGCAGTACAATTAGTCCTCTGCAGCCCACACACCTCTCAATACCACGATGGACAGGGCTTCCTTACAAAACAGCAGAACGAGAGGTTTTCTTAGGAGTCGAGTTTCGCGTGATGTGGTCGTCAGGCAAAATAATTCTATTCTTAAAACGTTTTTTGTTTGGTTGTCATGTGACAGGTCAGGAACGTGTACAGCTCCAGAGGACTGAGTGATATGCACTCTCATTTCGGGCAGGTAAGACATATAGCACGTTCATGTACATGTGTATTGCACAGGATTGCATCGGAGTAAGGTATTCATTGTCAGGCACGTAGCCCGCTTGGGGCATGGGGGGCACGTGCACCCCCCCCCCCTTAAAATATCGACCTAGGTTCAGCATGCACATAATAAACATGAATGACATGCACCGACCATCCTACACATACATGTACATGTATGCGGCCGTGCACACCCTAAAAGTGGGAGCAGCTACACCCATGATTGTACTAGTGTAGCAACTGCTTGGACTAGTCCAGGGTACTAGTGTAGCAACTGCTTGGACTAGTCCAGGGTACTAGTGTAGCAACTGCTTGGACTAGTCCAGGGTACTAGTGTAGCAACTGCTTGGACTAGTCCAGGGTACTAGTGTAGCAACTGCTTGGACTAGTCCAGGGTACTAGTGTAGCAACTGCTTGGACTAGTCCAGGGTACTAGTGTAGCAACTGCTTGGACTTGTTGTAGTTTATGGTAACGTGGCAGCCACTGGCTGGAACTGTATTGTTACTTGTGCATGCTCTGCTTGGTATACCTTCTGCGTGATGCCATTTTCCGTGTATTGATTGTAGGTTAGTGAGTGCGCGTCTGCGCGGTGGTGCATGCTTTTCCATTCACTGATTGACCTGTCAGCGGTCAATCTTCTAGTTGCGGTTTCGGCGTGGTCTGCGCTGCCCTTATTCCGAGTTTGTAGCTTTTGTGTGCATCCTGACTTATGTATGGAGTGTGCTTGCGTGCACGCTTGCTACGCGTTACTTTTGGCAAGCTGGCCATGGTTCTTTTTCTGGCTTAGCTTCCGTTTGATCTTGGCGTGGAGTTAGTTCCAACTCGTGGTGATAACAGACGTTTCTCATTTTCCATCTAGAAGAATAACTAATTTCCTTGGAAGCTCTGTGGTGTTGTGAGTGAACTGGCCGTAAGCCGGCGTGGAGTGCATGTTCTCCAACAGCTTTTGGTGCCGAAACCCGGGACAACGTGTTGCAGAGTAGGACTTTTGTGGAGTCGGAAGGAAATAGAAAGTCTTAGTGTTTGTTCATGAGAATAAAATGTCTGTGAAGTTGGATGGATTTATGCGTCCGTACCGAGGGCGAGGTGACGACCTAGATGTATTCTGGTCAAAGTTTATGATCCTGGCGAAATCCCACAAGTGGGATACGGGCAAAGAGCAGATGGCAAACTTGCCGTTGCTCTTGGATAAGGCTGCGTATACTGTATTCAACGCCATGCCCGACGCGGACAAGGAGAAACCTGACGAGGTGAAGAAGGTGTTGACTGAAGCCTTTGCTCCTTCTGCTGCGGAGTGTTACCGCTTGTTCAAAGCGCGTTCCATGGGATCCACAGAGTCAGTAGACGAGTATGCGGCGGAGCTAAAGAGGCTGTTGAAGAGCTCTGGTCACAACATAGCGGACGACAAAGATCCGATGCTGTTAGAACAGTTTGTTGGGGGCTTGCCCAGAGACTTCGCCAGAGAGGTGAGAATCCAGTGCTCTAGCGGTAGCATGACTCTTACCGATATGATCAAACGTGTCAGGGCTATGTCCGTCGATGATACTATAAGTGTCAGTGGAGGGAAGTCCGTGGCTGCAGCTGTCAAGTGCTATTCATGTAAGGAGCCTGGTCATGTAAGAAGGAATTGCCCTAAGGCCAAGGGCAACAGCCACACCACTGGCAAGTCACGAGGGCCACAGTGTTACTCTTGCAAAGAGTATGGCCACATCAGGCGAAATTGTCCAAAGGCCAAGACTGAGTCTGCTTCAGTGGCTGTGAGTGCTGGGCATTGTCAGGCTGGAGTGTCTACTGATGCTGACGGAATCCCAATATCAACTGGTGGGCAGAGCTCTAAGCTGCTGAAAGTTGATGTGTGTGTTAAGGGCCATGATGACTCTTGGATATCAGTCGCAGCGGTTGTGGATACTGGATGCACGCGATCTCTGATGAAAGAGAGTGTAGTAACTGCCGTGGGCCTGGCTGATCAGGTGGAATCGACAACTGACTGGGTGGTCGGCATCGACGGCACGTCCCTGGAGTCAGTTGGATCTGTTGCTGCGACTGTCCAGCAACATGATGATATAGTTCAGCTTCCGGAACTGTGCGTGGACTTCCTGGTAGTTTCAAAGCATGAGGGAGTGGATGCTGACCTGATTCTTGGCAATGACGTTGCCAGCGCGGCTGGTGGTCTTGAGATACGCTACCAGAATGGCTCGGCGAGTGCTATTCGGTTCGGAAAAGGGCCCGATGTAGCGGCTGCCGCAGCTGGCCATGCTGAACGAGCGCCGAAGCAGAAGCTCTCGAGGCACATCTCTGTTGAGCGAGATTCGGATGGTGTCACCCTCAGTTCAGCCGATTTCAAGGTGCGCTGGGACAATAGTGCAAAGTCGTGGACCGTCGCCTGGGTCTGGGGAGGTGGTGTAGAGCCGACTGATAGCATTGGCTCCGGAGTGACACAGTACTCACGGAAGAAGCTCTCTGCAGAGCAGGAGCAACAGTACCAGAAGGAGGTGCAGTCGTGGATCGACCATGGTTGGATGGTGCCCCATGATCCAGATCGACACGGCAAGTCAGGTGCGATCCTCCCTCTAATGGCTGTGTGTCAAGGACACAAGGCGTCTACGCCTGTACGTCCCTGCTTAGACTACCGTCGTTTGAATGAGGCGATTCTTTCCCATCCTGGAGGCGACGCGCCTGCATGCGACCAGAAGATCAGGGAGTGGAGACGCCGTGGCGGTGACCAGGTAGTCGTCGATATCAAGAAGGCGTTTTTACAAGTTCACGTCGACCCCAGCCTCGTTCGGTATCAGACCGTGGTATTCAATGGAGTCACGTATGTCATGGAACGAATGGCATTTGGTCTCAGCATAGCTCCGAAAGTCATGGACGCCATCGTGAAGTTTGCGCTGTGCGACTTTCCTGATGCAGACAACTATGTCGACGATGTCGTTGCTCCGTCCGAACAACTTCCGGAGGTGACTGCGGCGCTGAGTCGGTACGGATTACCGACGAAGCCACCAGAGGTACTTGCCGGCGCAAGGGTGCTTGGCATGCAACTATCGGTTGCTACGTCGAGTGAAGACGTGATGTGGCGTCGCCGTGATGGCATGGATCTGACGTTGCCAGAGCAGCCGACGAAGCGAGAAGTGTTCTCCTGGTGCGGTCGATTGACGAGTCATTACCCTGTTGCATCGTGGCTGCGACCGTGCTGTAGCTACATCAAGCGAGTGAGCTGTGAAGATGCTGCGGTTTGGGATAAGCCTGTCTCAGCTGCGCTCGAGAAGTTGTGTCGTGCGGTGGAGGATCAAGTTTCACGAGAGGATCCCGTCAACGGCAAGTGGACAGTCAAGTCGACTGGTGGCGTGTCCCTATGGTGCGATGCATCCAACCTGGCGCTAGGTGTTGTCATCAGCGAAGATGGCTCCGTGATTGAGGATCACTGTTGGCTCAGGCCTAAGTCAGACAAGCGGCACATCAACGTTGCCGAGTTAGACGCCGTCCTTCGTGGCTTGTCTGCTGTCGTGGATCACAGAGTGGCCAACGTTCGAGTCATGACCGATTCGAAGACGGTGCATGGATGGCTAAAGTCTCTCTTGGGCAACATCCAGCGAGTGAAGGTGAATGGCCTCTACAGAGCTCTTGTAGAGCGTAGATTGCAGCTGATTGACGACTTGGTCGAGGTTTACAAGTTGAAGATATCTGTCGAGTGGGTGCCTTCACAGAAAAACCTGGCTGACCGTCTGACCCGTGTGCCGGCATCCTGGCTCAAGATGCCCGAGTCACCGGTGGTTGCGGCGGCGACCCAGAGCAGTGCGTGTGCAGGTGTCCACAGTTCTGCCCCACTTGCCTTCGACATCATCCGGGACCAGCAGGGAGCAGATACTGCCATCCAGCAGACGGTGGAGGATGTCAACGGTATGCAGACAGTTAGGGCGAAGCAGTTTCAGAAGGTGGCACCACAGCTGAGAGTGCGGGATGGCGTGCTGTATCGGTCAATCAAGTTGCCGCCTGCCAATGAAGCATGCGAGGTGCCCGTGATTCCGAGCTTGCTAGAGCAAGATGCCCTCCGAATCGCCCATGAGAACACTGGCCACGGATCATGGGAGGTGGTCCATGAGATGATGCGTCAGCAGTGCTACCTTCCTGGGATGGCAAGGAAGTGCCAGGAGTTCGTCGGTCTTTGCGACAGTTGTGCCGCTGCAAACCCTGCTGCTGGTGGTCATGCTTCGCCGACACGTCCCGAAGTGCCGGCGCGCCCATGGCAAGTTGTGGCGATTGATACCTTGGAGCTAGGACCGAGCCGAGCTGGGTTCCATTGCGTCTTGGTGTGTACGGATATGTTCACGCGCTATGTGGAGGTGATACCTTTGAAGCACCATGACGCTAAGTCAGTTGCCGAGGCGTTTGTGTCTGTGTGCTGCCGATGGGGTCCGCCGGAGGTGGTCAGATCAGACAACGGAACAGAGTTCGTCAATGCTGTCATGGACGCCTTGTACTTGGCGTTTGGAGTGGAAGTCAAGCACGGTGCAGTGCGACACCCTCAGTCACAAGGAAGCGTGGAGAGATTCAACCGGACCCTGTTGACTCTGATTCGCAAAGTACACTCGCAGTCCAACGACTGGAAGACCGACCTGTCAATGCTGCTGTACTTCTATCGCGTCCGACCGCATGGAGCAACGGGAGTTTCGCCTCAGCTAGCGATGACTGGTTGGCAGCCCCGTGGTCTTGTTGTAGAGGCCCAACAGCCCCTGTACACCTTGCCAGCATGGACGGCTGAGCTGCAGCGTCAAGCAGCTGCCATTCGTGATTTGATCGATGAAGAAATGGCGTCAGCTGATTCCCAAGAAGACGCCGACAAAGCAAGTTGCTGTTACGGGCCTGGTGACGTGGTGATGATGAAGATGACCAGCCGCGCGCAGAAACGCCTCCCGAAGTTTCAGCTTGGCTGGAGAGTCAAGAAGGTGTTGTCGGAGTCGACTGTAGTCGTTCAGAAA